AAATATGAGCACAAAAAAGCAAAGTAACTCAATCTATCAGTTTTCCGTAAACTGCTGTTGTGGCTGTCTGCAAACTCATCCTTCCAGCTCCAAGCCTCAGCAGCGGGACACTGAACTATTTGACCCTGGTTTCGTTTGGAAAGCACACATGTTTGTGCTGTTTTTCTCAGCTTTGAACCATCTGGAGGTGAAGTGACTATGTATGCTGAATTTGGCAGTGTGGCTTTGGAGTGACCCGGCATACATTTGTTTCCAGAAACTGCTCTAAATTCCCACCACAAACCACTTTGGCAGCTCCTTATGTTTGCTTCTTAAGAGGATTTCAGTAAAAAACAATGCAAACAGCCACAATGTTTTAAACACAGCAAATTCTACATGATATTCTATCAGATTGTACAGCTGGGAATTTTGGGGACTGTCTCTGGCCAAGGTGTAATACTGTCATTGTAAATCTTAGCATACAAACATACAACATCAGAGAACTTGTAGAGAGGAGAATTACCACTCTGTAATGTTCTCCGGGTTTCTCAAACGCTAGAGGGCGCTCCTGAGAGAGTCCAAAATGAATGGGTTAAGATGGAGCATTTGAGCAAAATCATAATTTATAAATGCTTAAACATTTTTAATGTAAAAGAATACAATGGTTTCCTGAATACTGAATATCATAAAACATTTTAACACTGCTGTTATATTTAAAAAGCTTTTAAACTCGAGTTACAGGAGATTAAAACAGCGCCTCATGACGTCTGTGATCGCAAACAGCCAATAGGCTGCTCTGCCCGCCAACCAATCAGCACTCAGTAGTAGTAATGCTAGTGTCCTGCTGCCCAAAACCCATTTGCTATAGAAAAATGGAAATATATTGGTAAGTTTTCTTTGCTTTTTTAGTGAAATACATCCTTCTACTTTCTAAAATTAAGAAATGTTCTGAGCAAGTGATTAGAAACTATTTTAACTTTTCATTTTCACCTGCAATTGACAGGCAACCAAAAGCAAAGCAGATATTAAAATATTATGATCAAGGATAAATATCACACTGTAAAGTTTCAAGCGATAGTTTGACGGAAAATCTAATGTACATGATTTACGACTTACTCCAAATGCAGTCCGTCGGTCAAGACATGTTTTGTGCCAAATTTTTGCTTCTTTAATTTAGAACAGGAGCTACAAGCCCGATGTTGCTAACAAACACTAGAAGTCAATAGTCTCCCAAACTGTTTTCTCTCCAAATTTCTCTCAGTCTGCTCAAACTGCATCCAGGTCTTGATTGAGATCCTATACCACAAGTCGTGTGGTTTAGAACACATGGTTCACTTTGAACTATAGAAAAAAATACCATTTCTCAGTGCAGTTATAGGAAGGGGCAGCCATTTAGAATAACCAGAATCACTTTTTCCTTGGTATCATTCCGCACAAGACGACCATAGCTGGGGCTAATAGAATTCATAATACAGACACAACACAGATCAAATCAATACAATGTGCGATTAAGAATTTGAAGACCACATTTCCGGCACGTACGAGTCTCTTCTGTATACATTTGAACCTGAATATAGACATGAGTTGGAAACGCACGTCTCAGCACAAAGCTGAAGTTAGCTTCTTATGAGAATTTTCTGTTCCACCTTAAATGGTACCACAGTTACATGGTGCCACCTAGAAAACAGTTTTTTTTGGCCTACTATTCGTTGCTTTAATTTAGCCCAATGCAGATATATGGACCTATATAGTTTTTTCCTTTTTTAAATATTGTGAAACTATGCAAACAATGCTCTTTAGGAAACATTTCTAACACTTTTTAGATAGCGCTTTTATTTTAGTTACAAATGCTCAAAGCGCGATAAGCGGTTTAGATGATGGGATGGATGGATGGATTACATCAAAGCGCTTTACACAAGAATATAAGAAATTTAAAAGGGAACACAGACCACAACCGAAAGTTTATCATAATACCATATGCAGAGGAACAGACAAAAACAAAAACTCATCAGAAGAAGTGTGCATCATTTCTGTTCTGAGTGACAGAATGATCACTTGTAAAAGATACTTGAGAATGGAGAATGGAACAACCTTACTTTGAGAATGAGTGCGTATTCTTCAGCCTTGGGAGATCTCTGCATGCTGGTAGCGAAGAAATTAGGAAATTATGACCATCGGATGGTCAATAAAATCCTCCTGGCACCTGGAGCAATGAGGGAAACGAAAAAGAATGAGCAGTGCGATCTAGTTGAGTAACTCACATGTATCCATCCAGATCTGTAACATATTTGGCCTTTTGTCATTTTCGTTGGCTTTTGTCATTTTTATTGGTTGGAATAGCTGGTCCTAAATCAGCACCCTGATGTGCAAAAACTGAAAGATCACTTACTGGACAGGCCTCAGGCCTCACTCCAGCCAAAACTCCTAGAGGCACCAACTCATAGATGATGTCCATGAAGCTGAAATGTTGAATCTAAGAGTAAGAAGAAAGATTAGTGGCAAGATTATCTTGACAACACATTCCAGTTTTGCTCCCCAAAGGGCCTGGGACACTGCAGCGACACAGCAAGAGTAAGAAAGATATTATATACAGGCTTAGAAGTTTAAATTAATTTTTTTCATAGTCTTTCACAAGTATAACCCACTTTTCACCAATGCAATTTGAGCAATGTAAACGACCACAACTTTAATATTAACAGGTTTTCTCAAATTCATCACTAATGTATGTCTAATAGTATATTTTAGTGTGAGAGAAGATGGAAGCTGTATTTTCAGTGCTTCACTTGAAATTTCAGTTGTCTGAATGCATTTCTGTGGCATTTTTCTAAATAAGTAATACTCGAATTCATGTTTTCTCTTAAACTGATGTTTCCCAGCTCCAGCTCTGTAGTCTTTCTATAGTGTCTTGTTTTCTCAGCAGCTAAGCCACATCATTAACTGATGATCACATCTTTCTGGAGCTGAATGAGGATAGCAAGAGCAGGAATACACCACACAGTGCAGTGCAGGGGGACTACAGGACTGGAGGTAGGAAGCACTGTTATAAAGCATCCTTGCCTGCTCCCTCCTCAAATAAATATGATGTCTACCTCTGTGAAGGAGCATTACTAGAGATTTATGGATGGGGGATAAGCCTAGACATGGGACTCTGGGGACATGGTGTGCCAGGAGATTTTGTAATGGCCCTAAAATGTCTGTTCATCATGAAGCAACAACCAGAGAATTTATCAAAGGCGGCTATTTGGTCAGATTGGCACAGTATATCCATCCACTTACAACAGGCATAGATCAAGCAAAGGTACCGAAGTTTGATGATTGTAAACATTGTTTCAAAACATGCCTTTCACTTCCCAGAGTGAATGTTCAACATACGGAAACTAAGCTGAAAAGTTATTATAATACATTTACATATACCTGCCTATTCTGCCTACAGCAGTTTAATCTCTTTTGCATACATGGTTCACTAGTTGAAATAGTTTTTCTGTTGCATTGCTGAAATAATCCTTTGTGGGACCTGTGAGTGTTTTGTTTACAACATGGTTTCATTTAATGTTAGCCTGCTTAAAATCTAAAGGATACTTAAAGCAAATAATCTACACACTTAAAAAAGATGGTTCTTCAGGGTTTCTTTAATAAAGAAAATGGTTCTTAATAGAACCATTAACACTCAAAGAACCCTTTGTGTGTTTAAAGTGTTCTTTGTATTGTGAAAGTGTTCTTCACATTGATGGAGAAGGTGCTGTAGATGGTTCTATATAGAGCCTTGTTCTTCTATTGTAATAAGCTTGACATGGTTATAGTAAAAGAACCCTTTTGGTGCCCTTTTCAAAAAGGTTCTATATAGAACCATATACAACACATTCTCCAACCACCTGAAGAACACTTTCAGGTTGCCAAGAACCCTTCAATCATGCAAGAGGTCCTTTGGATGTTTATAGTTCTATTTTTTCTTTACTAAATAAAGAACCATCGTTTTTAAGAGTGTAGGTCAAAGGGGTACAGCTGACAGGTTGAGAAGCCCTGCTTTACAGTAAAGTAAAACTTCAAAACAGCATTATTCTGCACATTTTAATCACAATTTCTTTGTTGACTTCAACATATTGGGGAAAAAAATGTACAGATGTGTGTTCCCTGTAGAGGACGTAAACTTATTTTCACATAGAAAATCCGCAAAACATATTATTTGACCAGGGTGCCCAAACTTTTGCATACACCCACATAGGCATAAACTGGGCAGCAGGATGCCCAAACTTTTGCATAAACCCACATAGGCTTAAACTGGACAGTGTAGTTAAGATCAATGTGAATTTCTTTCAAATGTTTTGATCTGCATTTGATTTCCAACTAAATTAAGAGTTTATGTGCACAGCGAGATGTAAATGTGTGGCAGTGATATTGGGATAGGAGCCTTTAAATGTGTGTGACATTTATAGCAGCCTTTCAATAAATGAGACATTTCTGTACATTTTCTATAAATACTATTTTTTTACATATATAAATTTCTATAAATGTGTCAGTATTGGCGTTAATATCGAGCTATTAGCCTTTTAACGTGTCAGTATTGGCGTTGATATAATGATATTAGCCAAATGTGTCAATATCGGCACCGATATCAGGATAGCAGCCTTTACATGTGTGAGAATTTTATAGCAGCCTTTCAATGAGTGGGACATTTCTATAAATGTTTTATAAATTCTATAATTATTTTTATAAATTTCTATAAATGTGTCAGTATTTCAGTATTGGCGTTGATATCGTGATATTAGCCTTTTAATGTGTCAGTATTGGCGTTAATATCGTGATATTGGCCGTTGTATTGGATATCAGTGGCATCTCCCTCTCTAGCTGCGTACTTGGACGCCAGCAAAATTCAGCAGTGTCCAGTGTACATATAGTGTGCTATCAAGTGCACCAGTATTTGTATTTTTATTCATTTTTTAATTTTTTACAGTATTTTTTACTTTTGTTTTGTCATACATTTCCCACAATTCCACCATAACCGGAAATACCCTCCAGTCCGGGGCTTGTTTAGCCGGTTTAGTTTCGGTTAGTCAGTAAAGGTGGTTTTGGAGCAGCTCGCTGAAGGAAAACTGGAAATACGGCTGTCCGTTGGCCGAGTTTGTAATCGTTAGGTAAGATAAATGTCTAACTTATGAAATATGATATATGAGGATCAGTAATGATGTCCCAAACACTGATTTAGTTAACGGTTACACAGACTGACCGCTAACGCTAGCCAAGCCAGCTAACCGACTGTAAGATACCGCTGTAGGAGCCAACACAAACCCTAGACCGAGTCTGTTTGTGTCCGCAACGAGCAGAAAAGTGGCTAAATAGTCACTTAATCTAAGCAGCAATGAGACGTTTGTAGCTAAATACGCCGGCGAGTCAGTCGTTAGATGTAACTAGTAATATTTATCCAATTTCATGTTTCTTGTTGCTTTTCTACGGAGCCCCGCTGGTGACATCCTGTATAAATAAAAATAATGTGTAAGTAAGTAAGGCAGGCGTGGGAATGAGATGATTAAGTCGTGGCCACGACTTAGTAATGCGTGGGAACGAGATCACGGCTTGCTAAGTCGTGGCCACGCATTAGGATCTTGTTCCCACGCTTTACTAAGTCGTGGCCACGCATTATTTTTATTGACACAGGATGTCACCAGCGGGGCTCCGTACTCTTCTATTTGAGTTTACGTTAATTTCGGTCTTCAGACGAAGCTGAAGGCAACTTCTTGTTGGAATTTCCCTGTTCCACCTTAAATGGTGCTGCAGTTACATTAGGGTTCCTGCGTCAGAATCTAACTGCTGCGCCCTTTAAGGTGGAGCGGGGAAGTTCCAACAAGAAGCTGGAGAATAGGAAGCCAAGTTCAGCCGTCTCACGCTGGTTTCAGCACCCGGACTACTTTGCAGCTGTTCACGTCCCTCACTTTCAAGCTTTATTGTTTGAACCCCAAACAGGAGAACAGCACCTGTTTCAGTTTCTGTGGTGATAAATGCTGTATGTACAAGTTTCAGTGCAGTTCCATGGGACACACTGTTGTATTTCTGATTGAGCCATTGTTTAATTTAAGTACCAGTACGTGACCTTAAGCGTGATTTTAGGCTCTTCTGCTCACCTTTGTCTGCCACTATGTAGCCCAGAGTTCAGATCCAACACACCTGATACTACTCATCAGACGCTCCTGAAGGCCTTCATTACCTGGGTCAGGTATGTTAGATTAGAGTTGGAGCTAAACTCTGCAGGACTGTAGCTCTCCAGGACCAGGTTTGGTCACCCACTGATGTAGCCTGATCTGTTTAAAAGGCCCAGATCCTACATTTTTCTTGTTTTTTTTTTTCTTTGAGCTCCACATATAACAGTACTGTGCTTTTATGTACCACAAATGGACATAATTCATTTTTTTCGTGGCCCATTTTTAGCCTCTCTTTATGCTGTTTTAGTGTTACTGCACCTTTTAAGGTTGTTACATTTGAATGGCATCTGTTTCTGTTTGGCTGCGCTGTATTGTGCCTCATTCAAAAAGTACTCAGAGCTGAAACTCTCCCTACAAATGGCAGGTAAAACTGGGACTTTCCAGGCCAAAGTGCTGCAGAGATTAGAGTTTACCCTCATCTAACACTCTGGATTCAGTTTATGAAGGCCTTACTAATTAGCTGATTAACTGAATCAGGTGTGTTTAATGAGGCTGTGTGCTGAAGTGTGCAGTGTTTTGGCCCGCGAGGACCGGAGCCTGACACGTGCCCTAGAACTTCAGAATGCATGGGTCAGGGCTAACTGCTGTAGGCTCAATTTAAGCAATAGAATACGAGAGGGAGTGTGTTATTGTGAAATAACATCACGCCTGTGATTTGGTCGCAGGCACGAGCTTGTGTTGTATTGTTTTTATACAACAGTAAATAATAAAGTAAGAAATAAATAAATTGGGCTGTGAACGTGGGAATTGAGCCTCGCCTTTTGAAGTACGGACTGAGCCATAAAACTGCCGCAATATCAAGTTTAGCTCAGTGTTGTCAATTTTTGCTGGATCAATATTAATGTTGTTTTGTTCCAGCCGGTCTGTAAAGCATTTTACAGCCCATCTAGTTTGGCGAATGGTATTCGGTTAATTTCTGGCTGATTCCAGGTTGTTTAGCTGTTTAGCTTCTGTCACAGCTGCCGACTAAAAAGCTGCTCAGTGGCGAAAACAGTTTGGGAATTTAGTGTAGTCTCATCTTCAGACTCTGACCAAATCGTCTGTGGGTCAAATGTGATCATAAAAGTGTCCATTTTCTGTTTGTGGCAAAGTAAGAAGTAAAAACGTTCAAATGGCTTGAGCGTCTCCCACAGCTGTCAAAATCATTGCTTAGCAACAGCGTCTCAGCGGAGTGATACAGTGTTTGTGAAAAAAACGTGATGTTATGGCGAAATAACAGCACGGTTAGAACGCCTCTCAACCAATTAGCTTGCGTGGCCAGACTAACTGTTGTATAAAGGTGGACATATGTAAATTGATTCTTGTGACATCACAGAAACAATAAATTCAAAACCAGCTGTTTTTGCAGCACAGTTTCTTTATATGGACTGTATGGACTGGGGCGTGAAACTTTGTTGTATACATATTATTTCAAACTCCTTTATTTCAGAAATATGAGGGGAAATTTGGTTTTCTGTCATATGATCCATTTAACAGGAGTGTGTGTGCAGAGGATGGTCAGGTGAACGAGGGACATTCAAGTCACAACTGTTGTTCTTCAGCTTTTTAGTTTTATTGGCAGAGATATCTGCTCACCAGTGCTGAGATGATGACTTTTATGAACGTGTGCACCAGTGCACCAATGAGCCGAGCCAACTCCTGTTGTTTACTCGGGAGTGATTGGATTTATTTAGAAGTATTATTTTTGTTCAACTTTCCAGAGTTTTGTTTGTAATGTATGAACCCCTTATTAACAGGTCTGTGGAGTACTTGGAATCAGAAGCCCTATTTTAAGGAGTAACCTCCAGTAACATCCAGCTTTACATGTTATCAGGGGAAAGACATACACCCATGTGATTGATGGCTGCTTGACCTGTTGAAATGCACAAAATTTTGTTCAGTGAGTATATTTTGCACATGAGAATATCACTATTATCATTCCAGTATCAGAATTACGGCCGATAAATACAAACAGTATTTTTATCTTGTGTAGTCTCTACTGGTGGAATTTCCCTTTTTTAAAGGCAGGACCACCACTACTATCTCAAAAAGAGAATGACACAGTAAGAGTCTTGGGCAAGACGGATTCGCAGTGATGGATGTTACATTCATCCATCACTGCGAATAGCTCTAGAAAAGTAACCATCCAAGTGGTGGCCCTGTCTATGGGAGATTGCCAGTTTAACTCCAGATGATGCCACAGCCGTGGTCAGGAGTCCAAGAGAACATAACTGGCCTCATTCTCTCTGGATGGGTTTGAAGAACCTCCCTCAGCGTGATATCAGCCAACGTGGTCACCTGTTAGCTGCTGTAACACAAATGGCAGTTACTGTTCTCCTCATTGAGGTGTTCAGTGATGTTTCGTTAGCAGCGGTTTGAAAAGATGCTGTGGCATCACGTGACTTGGAGCAAGCATGTGCTAGCCTTCACCCTCCTAGCTTGTTTTTATTATGGGGAGGCCTAGCTAGCAGGTGAAATCATAAATGAGGGAAGAAATAATAATAAAAAATATATAAAATAATCTAAAAGTTGACAGAAATTGTCATGTCTGATCTAGCCGATTCATGACTTTGTAAAATTAATCAGTGACCCACTTTTGGTTTGTTTTAACCTGCATTAAGCTCAATGTGTTTTATACATGGCTTCTATTGTGGAAGGAAAAGTAAATTATCCGTTATTGATATCACCATCGGCCACAATAAGGTGTTAATTAATGGTTATTGAATTGCCCATTAAATTCCATACAGGTGCATCACTAATTAAGATAATGGCAGTGTTTGTATGTATTTAGAGTAATAATTTGATGTATCAGAAACCTCAAACATGATCAGATTCCTTTTATAAGCACTTATTTAGCTTCTATTTGTCTTAAATAATGTTGTCATTCTTTCCAGATGCCTAATGTTATTCCAAGCAAATCTTCTCCTCCACCTGTGAGTGGAATTGTAGAAGACCCCCAGTGCCCTAACCAAGAAACCCCTGACCAGACTGTGCTCCCACAGCAGAACCTGTTGGCCAATGCAAATGTGGAGGTGAAAGAACGACCACTAGTATTCCCTACAGAGAACCCTAATATATATGAAGGGAACACCTCAAGGGATGATGGCCATGAATGTGGACATGACAAAAGCAGAGAAGAAGTCATCAAAGAGATAGCGATCAGCAGTGTTGCTTTCATTGGTCCAGCATGTCGACCAGTGACAGCAATAGAGGAGGAACTGAGTGAGTTCTACAAAGAGCTTGAGGAGATTAACCACCAAGACAGAGTTGATGGTGATACAGGAGTTAATGAGGATGTCTCACAGTCTTGTGAGCCAACACCCAACCCATCTCCCAGAAAAGAGGCTTGGGGAACTGATCATACGAAAGCCTATAGGCCTTATCCACCGATTCGGCCTCAAAGGGACTATGGAAACAATAGGAAATGGGGGCCTCAGTCACACAGTGATGCGCCTTGGGAATTTTCAGACTCATACAACAACCAAGGTCAGTGGCAGCATCCCCCATTTAGGCTTCCACATGGACCACCAAGGATCCAATTTCATGGCCCACAGCATTTTTTTCCTCCGCCACCACCTGGGAATCCCCTGCAACGTCCATATTTCCAGCCTCAGTTAAATGACTACAGTCATGCTGAGAGAAGCAACTGGTCCTCTTGCCAAGGACCCTATTTCCCGCTTGGTTATGACATGGGACTTTCTTCACCTTACTGCTCTGGGTCATTTCAACAGCAAGAAAGAAGCTCAAATGATTGGCAGCATTATGGGGAGCAGAATTATCAGGAGCAAGACCAGCACCAGCATAAAAACGGCACACCTTTGGTTTTGATACTGATGAGGGGACTTCCAGGCTCTGGGAAATCAACTCTGGCAAAGTGAGTTGTGAGAATGACAGTAAAGATTTTAGCCTCACATGTTGATGAACTCATGTGTTGATAACATTTTTGGTGGGTGAGTTATGCCCAAATGTTACAATGTACAGTGTAGAATTTGTTATCCACTATTGTGATACTGATGTTTGCAGTTCCGAGACTGTGATATGTAAATGACAAATCCCAGTTCCCAGAGTGTTTCTGTGGGTATTTTGATGAATGAAGTTATTTATGTATTCTAGCAAATTACATTATTTTAGTCTGATTAATGCAGGTCAGTTTTAAAGGGCCCATGTTATGAAAAAACATTCTCCTTGCTTTGTTAAATACAACTGATTGATGCAGTATGTAAAACATTATTTTAAAACATACCGTTCCCTCCCTAGTCCATACAGCCGTGGAAGTTAATCTGCATAAACAGCCTGTTTTGAATAATTTATTTTGCGATCTCACAGATACCATGACATTTATAGGTATCTGCCTAATTGGCCTATGGCGGTTTGGCTCTGTCCATTCATGTTGAAATTAGACTGCATGTTTCAGCCCAGACTGCATGTTTCAGCCCGGACTGCTTCTTGAATGAGGCGCAATACAGGGCAGCTGATCAAAACAGAGGTCATTTACATATATCAGTCTAAAAGTCACAGTAGCAAAAACAGCCTGTTTAGTTCTAAGAGATAAAAGGAGGTTGGAAAATGGTCATGCAAAACTGAATTATGACTGCTTTGGTACATAAACCCACACAAATATTAGAAGTGGACCTTGGGAAAATATAAAATATAACAAAAATGTGGGATATGGGACGTTTAAACGTCCCTTTTAAATCAATAATGCATTTTATGTGAATTGCAAGGCATGTTGCAGTCGCAGTATGTCGCAGTATAATTGTGATACCAATATTTTGTCCATTTTGTGCAACCCCTTTACAGTTTTAATAGTCAAATGGTGATTATTTTGATTGTTTACAACAAATTAAAATGCAATGCATAATACCTTAATAATATTCTTAGGTGATCACTGGAAACTTGCAAGAGAAATTGCACTAAAGAATGCAAAAGCTCTATTTTAGGTTAATGTTTTAAGTCATTCTGAACATTAAAGCCTCCTAATACAGCAACATATATTACCATTTTTCAGGGGAATATTGTCCAGTGGCCCAAATGGGCTAATATTGAGTACAGATGACTACTTCTTCCAAGAGGACGGCTACTTCTTTGACCCCACCCTGCTTGGGGATGCACATGACTGGAATCAGAAGAGAGGTAAGTACATTGTACAACCATTAGTTGCACATTTTAGAACACGTTTTGTCTGCACAATTGTTTAGAACCACAGGCTGGTTTTTACCAGTAATTTGTGAATAAAAATAAACTCAGCCAATCAGCTCGCTTGTCAGAATTATGGGTAAAGATGTGTGTTCTGTTATGCTAGTTAAAAACTGTCTTGGCTATGTTCGTGTGCCCCATAAGGTACAGAGCATGATCGGTAGAAAGAACTACTTCAGTTTAGCAGCATTGAAGCGTTTGTCTGGGGTGTTTTGTGTGTGTATGCACACCAGGGAGAGTTGTTCATCGTGTTCCTAAGGCATAACGCAAGGCTGTCTTGACTGTGTCAGGATCTCACATTTAAAACACTTACCAGATTTCCATCCAGCTGTCAAATTAAATTCAAGAACTGAAATGTCAACAACTGACGTGTTGCAAAAGATTGTTGCAAATTGGGCTGAGTTTACATCAGCACAGTGTGAGAGGATAAAACGTCAGCATTATGCTCATGAAAACACTTCTGAGAAACATGGACAACAGACAAATCTTTATTATTGAGCATCTTCTTGCTATTTTACTTAATTTTATGGCTGTGTTTTGTATGTTTGTATGAATATGAAGATAAAATGTACTGACACATACAGTGACCCACAAAATGTTCATAATTCTGTTGCAATCACTTCGTTTATGTAAGATTAAGATATCTTGTCATTTTTTCATTAAAAAAAAAGTAATCCCTGCCGGCTTCTGTCATGTTTTGGAGCTATAGCCGGGCAGAAACACTTGATCCGTTCTTTGACTTTATTTGCGTTTATATTATCTATTGAGCAAATATGTTTACATCAACATTTATTGTATTTGCTTTTTATCTGCAAAAAAGGGAGCATGCACACGTTCATACACATTTTGGCAGTTTTATTCAATAGTTTCCATCAAGTCTTTCTTTTGGTTTTATTTGATGTACCAAAATATGCATAAAATACATAGATGGAGATTCTACAACGGTGTTTTAGGGCGACTGTTAATAAAAATAAAAATGGTTGACTTTGAGAATAAAGTCATAATATTTCAAAAATAAAGGTGTAATATTTTGAGAAAAAAGTGGGCTAACTGTAGGGGGCTGGCATAATGCGTTGGGGTCTCGGTTGCTGTGCTGGTGATGGCGAAGATGCGGAGTGTACAGGAGTTCCACTCACTCATTGTCTCCCTGTGGATTGATCATTTTGATTATCATTCTCATTGTCTGGGAAACTTGTGTAGACAACCCTGCCTGCGATTCTCCTTCAACAAAACAGCTTCCTCAGAGTCCGTCTCGTTTTTTATTCTGAATAAACATGGTTTCCTGCACAACTCCTCCAACTCCTCAGCGACATTCATTTTAACACGAGGAGGTGCTGCCTTCCTTTGGCAAACCCTTTGACAACAATATTGCGGCATTCCTGGTATTAATGCCACTTTAATGTCATAATTCAACGACTTTTTTTTTCTCAAAATATTTCAACAGTGGCCCTAAAACGCTGTCGTAGTATTCAGCATGTCAGTCATTATATTTTAAAAAAAGGCATGTCAAACTCAGTTCATTCGAGGCTACAGCTCTGCAGGGATTAGCACTATCCCTCCTCTAACACTCCCTTTTCTGCTCATGATGCCTTGCTGATAAGTTGAATCAGGTGTGTTTGATTAAGCAGAATGCTGAAGTCTTCAGAAATGTGACCTGGAAAGAACTCGGTTTGACACCCCTGGTTTAAAACATCACATATTGTCTGTTTTATTCCTGTGCCAGAGATCATTAAAGAATATCATGGCTGCATTTTCTTTTTTTCAGCTACAGATGCTATGCTGAGGGGTCGTTCACCTGTTATTATTGACAACACAAATGTTCAGGCTTGGGAAATGAAGCCCTATGTCGCATCGGTAAGTTGAATGCATGCTCCGCTGTTGTATTGGGTAGTCTGAAATATGACAGGCATTATTGGTCAGATACACTAAACTTTATTCTAAATCTGTTAATTCTAGACAAGAATTCACAGGTTTGAAATAAAGAATGTTACATTTAATTCATATTTCAAGATTGCGTTTTTTCTCTGACCATTTTTGTTCATTTTCTTTGCACTTTGCAGGCTTTGGAGTGTGGATATAGAGTGGAGTTTGTTGAGCCTGACACCAGTTGGAAATGTGATCCTGCTGAGTTAGAAAAGTAAGTCTGTGAATGGTTTGGACCCCAAACTTGTACGAAATCAATACAAGAGAACCTAAATATGTACTTGCCTTCTAATTAGGTTGATGTCGGCCTTGTGGGCACATAATATTTATGTACAGAATAGGCATAATGAATAATTGGTGACTTTCTTACATATAGATATGCCAGAATTTCTTGCTTTTCAGTGTAAGTTGGGAAGCCATTATTTTGGGTACCTATCACAAGTCTGATATTTCTTGATTTTATTGAATCTATGTATTCCTGCATAAATGATCGCACTCTCTTAGAGTCTGAGGAACTTGGTGAATGAAAGTTAATCAGTAAATAAAAGTAAACAACCTCCTCTGAGGATAAATAGCATGATTTGCAGGAAGTGGCTCATAGAAACAGGATATCTCAGCTCACTTGAGTGTTCTGAAATGAGTTGTTCAAAAGAGTTCGCAGGAGTTTGTAGAAGTCGTTACTCCACTCATCATGAAAGCATCTTCCTTGCCAAAACTCCACCCTTTTCTGTGGCATTTCTTTTTTTCTCAGAAGTACAGCAGGGCAATGAGATAATACATGGTATTGATGATGCAGTAGGGCATGGATGAAAATACTCTTGATGCTCTGAAGTTCAGACTCACAATCCAGAACAAATGTGCCTAGAAGATTTCGAGAATTATGTATAAACTACATTGAAGAAACTTTCTGAAAGCGAACCTACAAGTGTAGCTTAATTCTGTCACCACCACTCAAAATCAGCATGGGTATGTTCGTACATGCAGAGTTGAACAATCCAGATTCTCTCTGTGTGCATCATAGCAGGCTGGGACAAAGGATGTCAGTCAAGCTTGCTCATCATCATCTCCCGAATAAGTCTGATAAACAAATGCAGGTGAACTTTGCTGGCTGTAGAAAATAACACTCAATTTTGGTGTCATACAAACATTTTTCATGTTTTACTTTATGTTCCTTGGGGAAAAAATCTTGCCTTGGCTTTGGCTGTAGCCTTTTAGTTAATTAGTACTTGATTAGTTCAGACTCAGGTGCAAAGTTCAAGAGAAGAATAGAGAGCATTCATTGCAACATACAAACCACTTGTAAGCATCAAAGAAGGGTAGGCTACAGTTTGTTAAAGAGTACATTAAACTTGTAGAGTTCTGGGGCAAAGTCTTGGACAGATGAGATTAACCTGTACCAGAGTGATAGAAAGAGAAATTCAAAAGAGATTCAAAACAAACCATTTCACCATGTATGACTGGAAGTGGCTCAGTGTTCTTTATTTATGATAGGACTGTCGACAGCAGCAGCAAAATGAGTTCTGAAGTAAATTGAAATATCTTCACTGGTTGAATCCAAACAAATGTCTCCAAAGCTCCAAAGTAGATTCACTAGAGCTTCACTAATTTATTTATATTTACATAAATAAATAAATAAATAAATAAATATATATATATATATATAATAGTGGTCACAGGACGCTGTTGGCTGGATATTTTTGGTTGGTGGACTATTCTCAGTCCAGCAGTGACACTGAGGTGTTTAAAAACTCCAGCAGCACTGCTGTGTCTGATCCACTCAGACCAGCACAACACACACTAACACACCACCACCACATCAGTGTTACTGCAGTGCTGAGAATGATCCACCCCCCAAATAGTACCTGCTCTGTGAGGGTCCATGACCACTGACCACTGAAGAACGGGGTAAAAGGGGGCTAATAAAGTATGCAGAGTGTATATAATGTGAGTTTTGTGATTTTTTTTTTTTCAATATTTATTAGTTCATTTATTTATTGAAATAGCGTCTCTGCTTGCATGATTTGTATCTGTGATATACACATTTCAGTCTTATAAGTAAACGCTTTTCATTTTAACAGGAGGAATAAGCATGGGGTCCCACGGGAGACAATAGCGAAAATGCTGGATCGATTTGAGCTCCCTATCAGCGTGGACATTGTGATGAATTCCTTTGAGCCTCCCCATAAAAGCAAAGAACGTCTTTCCAAACCACGCGGACAGAGAAGATTTGAAGACATGTAGCTCTTTCACTATTTGAAGATTGAACATACTATTTTTTTATTTGCTGATAGTTTGTAAACACTTTTAACAAGTTTTTTAATGCTTTGTAATAATATTTATAATTACATTTTGAACTGTTCAGTGTGTGGTCATGTGAATGTTTTTAAACTTTTATTAATTATTTGTTTAAAGAAATTTTATATTAACTGTGCTCAGATCTCTACTTTGTTTGCATTCGTAAAGCATTGGGCCTGTGCCCTCCTGTCATTGCTGTCTAAATCTTCAACAAATGAATTCACTGTCATTAAAGTAATTAATGATGAGCTGATCTGAAAACAATTATTGATGTTTGTAAACTGGGAATCAAACTATGAAAAAAGATGTAGGAAGACCTCTGGTTCCATTTATTTATTTTTTTTACTGGCAGAAACAGAAGTGTTTTAAAGACAAATTATTGCTACTGAAGACTTTTTACAGATGTTCCAATTTCACCATTTCTTTTTCTGTTATATTGACTCACATTGGATTGACCTTGTAAGTCAGTGCTTTTTTTAGACCCTGATTTAAATATCAGTTTTTTATTTCACTCTGATTATTATTTTCACTCTGGAGAACTGTGGGTGTTTCAGTACTCCGATTTGAAAGAGAGAGCGATGGACCCCAGGTGAAATTTCAGATGAATCTGTGTCAGATTAAAGTCATTTGCAGATACCTGATGGCTGGTACATTCTGTTCCATCTCCTTGCGCTGAATGACTGTTCCTTTTAAAGTCACTTGGAGGGTCTTGAGGAGATAAAATGTCAGACTGAGGCTGCTTTGAGAAGTAAAACCTTGGAACTGAGATTGGGTTTGTATTGATTTCTTGTTTGCCTGCCTGCAGTCTGTACACTTGCATAATCCATCTGACTCATAGTTTAGTTTTTATGGAGGCAGCTAAATAATCCAGAGGAGGTTACTGGAATTTATGTTGGATGTGTGAGACTTCTGTCCAACTCTATTCTTACAATGTATAGAAAAGTTATACCATTTTCCTCCTGAAATTCAAATAAGGATAATGATCATAATATCAAAATAAAAATGTATGTATTGTGAGTATTAATAATGTTCAAATAGATTTGTATTATTACTGTTATTATAGGTGCTTTGACTCCAGACCCTTCAGTCAAAGCAACAAACTACAGACCCAAACCATTTAGTCAAAGCAACAAACTACAGACTCAAACCATTTAGTCAAAGCAACAAACTACAGACTCAAACCCTTCAGTCAAAGCAACAAACTACAGACTCAAACCCTTCAGTGGAGCAACAAACTACAGGCTCAAACCTTTTAGTCAGAGCGACAAACTACAGACCTAAATATCTGAGTCAGAGCAACAAAACTACAGACCTAAATCCAACAGAGCCACAAAACTACAGACCCAAACCCTTCAGTCAAAGCAACAAACTACAGACCCAAACCCTTCAGTCAAAGCAATAAACTACAGACCCAAACCCTTCAGTCAAAGCAACAAACTACAGATCCAAACCCTTTAGTCAGAGCAACAAACTACAGAACTAAATATGTGAGTCAGAGCAACAAACCACAGACCTAAATATGTGGGTCAGAGCAACAAAACTACAGACCTAAATCCAACAAAGCCACAAAACTACAGACCCAAACCCTTTAGTCAAAGTAACAAACTACAGACCCAAACCCTTCAGTCAGATCAACAAAACTACAGACCCAAATCCATCAGTCAGAGCAACAAACTACAGACCCAAACCCTTCAGTCAGATCAACAAAACTACAGACCCAAATCCATCAGAGCAACAAACTACAGACCCAAACCCTTCAGTCAAAGCAACAAACTACAGACCCAAACCCTTCAGTCAAAGCAATAAACTACAGACCCAAACCCTTCAGTCAAAGCAACAAACTACAGATCCAAACCCTTTAGTCAGAGCAACAAACTACAGAACTAAATATGTGAGTCAGAGCAACAAACCACAGACCTAAATATGTGGGTCAGAGCAACAAAACTACAGACCTAAATCCAACAGAGCCACAAAACTACAGACCCAAACCCTTTAGTCAAAGTAACAAACTACAGACCCAAACCCTTCAGTCAGATCAACAAAACTACAGACCCAAATCCATCAGTCAGAGCAACAAACTACAGACCCAAACCCTTCAGTCAAAGCAACAAACTACAGACCCAAACCCTTCAGTCAAAGCAATAAACTACAGACCCAAACCCTTCAGTCAAAGCAACAAACTACAGACCCAAACCCTTCAGTCAAAGCAACAAACTACAGACCCAAACCCTTCAGTCAGAGCAAATAAACTACCCTGCTGAAAAAGAAATCATAAAAACCATTAAATAAAGAAACCTTTTCCATCTTTAATGGTATTCCAATGGTGTCCAACAGTCTCTAATGGGTTGAAATCACAGTATAAAGGTGGTTTAACAGGTGTTCTGGGACTGATTCCAGATACATTTGATGGCTTCCTAATGGGTTCAAAGGTATCCTATAGCAGACTAGTGGTATCTAAATGTAACCATTAAGCCAATTCCCATTAGAAATCAGGCTTTAATCCAAATGGTTGGTTCTAATGGTCTTTTTTCAGCAGGGTCTTCAGTCAGACCATTGAACTACAGACCAAAAGCCCTCAGCCTGAACATCAGACTAAAAGGTGTGGGTCTGTAGTCTGGGAGGGTTTAGTCTGTAGTCTGAGGGGCTCAGTCTGTCACTCTGGCTGGAAGGTGTGGGTCTGTAGTATGTAGAGTTTAGTCTGTAGTCTGAGAGGTTTAGTCTGTGGGTCTGTAGTCTGAGAGCTTTAGTCTGAGGGGCTCAGTCTGTCGCTCTGGCTGGAAGGTGTTGGTCTGTAGTATGTAGGGTTTCAGTCTGTAGTCTGAGGGGCTCTCTCACTCTGGCTGGTAGGTGTGGGTCTGTAGTATGTAGGGTTTCAGTCTGTAGTCTGAGGGGCTCTCTCGCTCTGGCTAGAAGGTGTGGGTCTGTAGTATGTAGGGTTTACTCTGTAATCTGAGAGGTTTAGTCTGTGGGTCTGTCACTCTGGCTGGAAGGTGTGTGTCTGTAGTCTGAGGGGTTTAGTCTGTCACTCTGGCTGGAAAGTGTGTGTCTGTATTCTGAGGGGTTTAGTCTGTCACTCTGGCTGGAAGGTGTGTGTCTGTCGTATGTAGGCTTTCAGTCTGTAGTCTGATAGGTTTAGTCTGTCACTCTGGCTGGAAGGTGTGGGTCTGTAGTATGTAGGGTTTAGTCTGTAATCTGAGAGGTTTAGTCTGTGGGTCTGTAGTCTGGCTGGAAGGTGTGGGTCTGTAGTCTGAGGGGTTTAGTCTGTCGCTCTGGCTGGAAAGTGTGTGTCTGTATTCTGAGGGGTTTAGTCTGTCACTCTGGCTGGAAGGTGTGGGTCTGTAGTCTGGGGGGTTTAGTCTGTGGCTCTGGCTGGAAGGTGCGGGTCTGCAGTATGTAAGATTTATTCTGTAGTCAGATGGGTTCAGTCTGTCACTCTGGCTGGAAGGTGCGGGTCTGTAGTCTCTGCGCTCTGCAGATGTCGCTGTTGAACTGCGCTGTAAAAAGTGAAGGGGCCGCTGGATTGGTGCAGCCAGCGGACAAATTGGCGCCATTTTGAAGCCGAAAGGAGGATCAGAGTTGGTGGGAGAAGCGATTGGCTGCAGCTCCTCAAATAAGGTACATTTTCATTAAAATAAAGAGACGCGCGTCGATAACGAGGTATGTGTTTTAATTCCGCAGGGTGCCCCTCATGCAGGAGATTCCCCTACAGGGCGCTTTTGGAGCCTTTATTGTCTGTTTTCGGCGCTAGGCTGGCTAACACTAATGATGTCCATTCTCTCCCTCTCTCTGTCTCTTTCTGCACTGTCTGATCTGAACGGCATGCGAACACACATCTCTTTACTCCTGCTCTCTTCACGCCTGGCAGAAGAAATAGTTCTGATTACTGTTCAGGCTGGGTGGGGTGGCGTTCATTTCCCCCTGCTTGTCCCTTTTCTTGTGCAGTTTTTCATTCAGAGGGGCTGCGCTGCTCTGTTTTTCTGACGGCTATTTGTTTGTTTGTATTTAACCGTTAGCATTAGCACGCTAGCTTGTTAGCAAGCGGGGCTAGCTGTTTATACTAGCATCCTATCAGAAAGCCCTCAGAGCCGAGAGGCTCCTTATGCTGATTTTCTAAGTCGGTTGTTGGTGTGTTTCACTTTTCTGGTTCTCTTTGTTGCTGGAGTCGATTTAGATGAGCTTGGCCGGCTAACTTTAGCTCACTGGCGAGGGGGCTCAGATGTGTTAGCCCGCTAAATGCTCCGTAGCTTTATGTGGACGGAGAAGGGGCAGAACTGGGCTGGTGAGTGTTAGCTCGCCAGCTAGCTGTCATACAGCGTTATTTTTGGCTATAAATGTTCGTTTTCTGGCTCTTTGTTTTTCTGACCGCCCTCTGATGGCCCCTAACCAGGCCACATTCAACTGACAAAATGCATAAAAAAGGCTTTTTTTTCCCTCTTGACAAGCTCCTGACATGACATTAAGGTGAAGTCAGCTTATCATTTGCCAGCTTCTTGTTCGAATTTTTTCCGTTCCACCTTAAATGGTGCAGCAGTTGTGTTCTGGCGCCAGAATGTACCTGCTGCACCATTTAAGGTGGAACGGGAAAATGCAAATAGGAAGCGCACTTCAGCCTCGTTGACATGACAGGGGCAACTTCAGACGCTTCAGACCCCTCATGTCACTTTGAAGGGGCTCCTGAGGCGAAAACCTCCCTTTTTTGGCTGGGGCTGGGCGGCGTCGGTTATAGTTCAGTATCGCGTATGTTCTAAGTACATCACTGTGTCTTAAAGGGGAATTCCACCGATTTTTCAAAATTCTGTAAACCAAGTTATCTAGAGTGGTTTGACGTGAAATGGTTAATCGTAGAGAAACTTAGACTCTGATTTCTTCACAGTGGTGATGGTAGGAACCAGGGGTCGCCATGTTTACAACACTAATATAGCCATTTTATTTACTATCCAGAACCAAACCAAAAGGTTTTTTTTTCAGTGTATCATTGATGATGGTGGTGGTGGAAAAAAAAAATTCTTTGGGCACTATTTTGCCTTTGAACACCCTTCATGTATCCCTCCACCATGAATGGATTAAAATGGATTGATTAAAATTTATTTTAGACCAAAACCTTTTACAGAAATACTGCTGTAAAACAATATTTCAAGCATCAGGCAGTGTCTTCATAACCATGTCATGAAGGTGCTTTTAGAGGTGGATGTCTGGTTCCTATCACCACCACCATATTCAGTAGGTTTCTCTAGCACAAAGCATGGCACACCATCTAATCATGCAGAAAATTTTGGGAAATCTGTGGAGTTCCCCTTTAAGTTGGCATTAACCTATAGATGTTAGTATTAAAAATGTTAGACTCCCTGTGGTTCATATGGTTTGAGCTCTTTTTTTTCCACAAATCAGTTAGACTATATGGTTAAAAGATGAGCTTCATCACCTAATTTACCATATTAAATTCTGTTATACTGTTAGTTCATCCACTGTTTAACTATGCAAAATCGCTTTAGATCACAATCAGAACACGTTCTGTGGTATTTTCCCCCCTCTTATAATAAATATCCTTGTTGGATGTGAATGGGTTACTGAAGTTAATGAGCCTGTGCTTCCTGAGTTGCTGGTACTCTCAGCTAAAAGACTGTATTACAAACCTGAGATGGTTTTGATGGAACTGTTTTGTTGTGTTTTCTTCCACTTTACTCACTATTCGAAACATTAACCACACAGAAATTTACCGAAAGGAAATGTACTGTTTGTTTAGTTTTCATGCATTTTGAGCTGTTCTTTCAGATCAATCTGAAGCACCCTAGAAACAATGCACGTTACAGTTAATTGTCAGGTTATACTGTCACTGATGGCAAATTTGGGGTGTTTTATGATCGTCATATCAGGGATATGATACTAATTATCTGTCAAATATATCACTAAATATGTAGCAAGAAATAGTGCTAAGACTGAAAAGCAAGATCAGCTTGTCAGTATATCAAGGTAGATCGATAAAGACGGTGTATCATCCAGCGCTACTCTGAATGGTGCAGATTTATGGAAGCAGCTGGAGATGTTTTGCTGGTTCAGGTGTAAAAACAGTGGACCACTAAGCTGTGTAGTAGTGGTCTTGTGCTTGTCTGACATTTGCATTGAATTTAAGAATTTGCTATCTGTAGATGCAGGTGTTTGTATGTGTTGAACGTTTCATGCCAAATAATTGTTTCCATGTCTCTTATTTTGTGATGTCCTTTTTATTTAGTCAATTCCAAATCTGGGCACTGTCCAGAATGTGCTACTGAAGACTTAACATAGACTTTGTCGTAATTGGTTTGACTACATTTAGATTTTGATAATGGGTTATATATTTAGAGAACATCCTGATATGTGATGGAGTAAATGTCCTTCAGTAAAATCCAGGTGCTTAATAGTGAGTATAGGCTGATGATGTAGGTATTTTCACAGTTAATAAAGCCATACCATTTTGGTAAATTATGTTAATCTGACAATGCTGCAGTAAAAGCACTTCAAATCATTTTTTAATAATGTGGCTGATTGAACATATTTTGTATCATTTAAATTATTATTGTGCTCTGAATTATTGTTTTTAAGCTACTTTGTGAAATAACTGTTTTATAGTTTTGTGAGTACTCCACAAATCCATGCTGTGATGTGAGTCAGTCTGCTCCTTTCTCTTGGTTGTGAATGAGCTGTTAGTGCTAACTTCAGTTTTAAACCAGAAACTGCGTGACTTTGGCTTTAAATAATTCATGACTCATGAATGAAAAATATATTTCTGGTGACATTGAACTCATGGCGAATGGCAGATAATAACATTTTTACATACCCATATTTGGACAAAAAGCATCTCCCACAAATGCAGTCGAATCCTGACAGTACAGATATTGCAGGTTATTTTTTCAGGTTTCATTTTCTGTGAAAAAGTTCCACACTGTGAACATTTAGAACAGAGAGGGTTGGAATTGGATTGGGCTTAATAGAACCGATACCTGATCAATTAAAATATGCCTTGATCGTCTCCAGTCTCCTCTGTAATAAACCGGGAAAACAGCTGCTTAAAATTACTGAACAGGTGGGCACTTGATTTGACAGCTGTGATGCCACTGTGATAATACATTAGTCTGCGTTCCAGCTCTTGTTTGTGTTTATAGGGTCGTCAAATCTACCAAGTATATTTATTTTTGACATTTGATGGTCTATTTTGTACACGTGGAGGGCTGAACGATTTTGGTAAAATATCTAATAGCGATTATTTTTACCAATATTGCAATTACGATTTAAATTGAGAGAGAAATTAAGTTAAGGGCCTTTTTTTGGCTAAGAAGACCAGTGTGCATATATATATATATATATATATATATATATATATTATATATATATATATATATATATATATATATATATATATATATAGTTCACAAGCTCCATGTTATTAGGTAAAATTTCCCTACTTGCCTCGTATCAACATTGTTGTTAATAGACTGTAAGACTACAATAAAAATTGCAGCTCTTGCAATTTGAAAATTGCACTCTTGTGATTTCGATATAAAAGTGATTCATCTTTCATCCCTATACATTTGTGAGTCTTTGTTATGTGAAGGTTAATTTAACTGTCCAGGCAGCAAATGCCTTGGCAAATGGGAGAACTATTAAGAATATGTCCTGTTGGATTTACTATGTGCAATTAACAAGTGTCCTGTTGCATTTTGTCACAGCTTTGCAGAATTGCTCGGTTGAAAGGTAGTGAGAGTTTTTCTCATGAGAGAATGTAGTAGAAGAGTGAAGAGATCACTAAAATGTGGGTAACTACTTCTTGCTGGATCTGAAGAACTCTTCTTTGTGTATGCACTCAGTGGCTTCATTGTCCAAGTGGTTTCCTGCACTAAATAATGCTTTGACTAGTGAGTGAATTCATTTGTACGTGTCAACTGGTTTGAATCTGCTTTAGTCTTCATGAATATGAGGCGCTGTCAGTTGAAAATCATGGCATGTTTGCCATTGAGTCAAGCTTCGACATAGCAACCTACTATGCAGTGCTTATGAATTATCAGCTCTATTAGCCTGCGTAGATCATGGCTGCAGGAGGAGTATCAGTTGGAAAGAATTACCATGATTCTTTGAACGCTGATATATAGTCCTGGTTAGGGATGCATCGATACCACTTTTTTTCAGTTTGAGTACATATTTTTCAGTACTTGCTGATACTATACTAAGAAACCTACTTGGAGTTAAGTAGTTGTTAGTGTAAGTGAATGCAATGTACCTTAACAGTTACATTATAACAATCAAGCTTATGTTAAGTGACGTGCTTTGTTTGTCATCTTGGTTAGCGCTGTGCACTTGGGTAGCACTTTACAGCTGTAAGTAAGGTACCATTCATAGGTTTGAACCCAGATCTGTCTCTTTCAACACCAGTCTCTGCAGCTTAATAACAGCTAATGCATCCGAGGAGCTCACTTGTGGAGTTTTACGTTTAATGTCATTTGATTGGCTGGTAGCTGAATGTCCTCCAAAGCCAGACATACACTGTGCAATTTTAGAAATCTTGCTCTTTGGTTACTCACACTGTACATCTGAATAGACCATCACGTACGGACAAAACTTACGAATTTATGTAGTCGTTCTGTACAAAAATGCCCCGTTCATGCTACGTGAAACATCTGTGAACACTTTCAAATAAAGCTGTTTCATTCAGAATAACATGCTGCGCACCGAGTACTGAGCAAAGAGAAACTGAGCAGCGCTGCTAACACTGTTCACTGAAGGAGAAGCAGGCGGTGATGTACACGGTAGGACAGGTTGATCTGTCTACGGCCTGTTTTACAAAACAAACCGCCGTATTAACGTTTGTACCTCATTATTCTAGTCAGTCAAACAGAATAAAGTCGACATAGATGGACTTTAGTAGGAAATGTCGACTTTTTGCCTCTGTTTTGTGGGCCTTCATGTCTCCACCCGTATTGGGGAAGCAGTTGCCATTGTGTGTTTAAAACCGTCTAAACTCTCACAGTGTAGGACTGACAGGAATACACTAAAGCTAAATGTTTAAAGTGAACTACAGCTTTGTGTCTGGCTGTTACGGAGTCAGTAACACTTCCCTCCGTGAGCACTCTTCTTCACGGCCAGCTTGAGTGATGTTTGTATCGGTGCATTATTACGAGTACAAGTAAACGAGCATGGAATCGGCCTGATGGCAGTATCTATATCAGCGCTTCTTTAGTCCTGGTCAGATGTCTTCAAATGATCTGTAAAGCCATCGGGCAGTGAGCATGAATTTGGCCAGAAACACCAACTAGAGTAAATACGTGTAAATAAACATGGCATTGTTTTTACATGGTTTGTCAGTGTGTTAGCATAACAATTTCCGAAGCTCTCTTTGACAAAGTCCAGTATTTAGTTACTTCCAGCTTATTAGTATTTTAATAAATTATATCAGATGTGCTGCTTATTGGATGTAGCAAATCTGTGCAGTCGCTGGAGTGCACAGAGAAGCCGTGAACCCATCCAGTGAGATCAGTAAAAGCAAAAAAAAAAATCTTGTTGCATTTTACTGTGTTAGTGTTTATTTGTATTTATTTTAATATTATATTGTGGTTTAATTGGCAAAATGCTCACTGCTAGAGTTTAACATTTTTCCTGGCTGCCTAAGAGTTTTGCACAGTATGTCTCGGTGAGCGTTTGTGGACACTCACTAAAGTATTAGTGAAATAAGAAGTGGGCGAATTGGTAGAGCACTAACAGGAAGCTTTGTTTCTTTGGTTTGACTCCACTTAAGTGTCCTTTAAGAGTATATGAGCTTATGTTTCATACTCATCCAGTATTTTACACCAGTGACTCGTGTCCAGCCTGGTGGGCATCTGTTTAGATAAGAGTTTTCCCTGCTCTAAAAACCTACTTTCAGCTTTTGTGTCGCTCTGTTGTCTTGAGCTGCAGTTGGTATGTGGTACATGCCACATTTAGGTTCAGGTGCCGCAGTGCACAGGGACACAAGTCAAAATGTGATGGGGATACATATCTTTACATGTGAGGAGGAATTCTGCAGTATTTCAGATTTCTGTTTTAGTCATTATGAGGAAAACTAAGTGTTTTAATGTGAAATGCTTAGTTCTAGAGAAACAAACCAGGTCAGAATTGTTCATTAATAGTGATGGTAACCAGATGTCCGATATGTTGCATGGGTACATCACAAGTTATTGCAAAAAAATGCACTAGTACATTGCTGAATATATTGTTTTGTGATAGTTTTTGTGTTTTTTGGCTTAAAACAAACAAACAAAAAAAAATCATGCAGGGTGTGCACTGTTAGAAATAAAGGTTCTGTGCAGGTACATTTTTCAGTCATCAAGGTACAAACAATGAAAATGCTCCCTCAAAGGTACAACAGTGGTTTTAAGGTCCAAATATGTACCTTAATTAAGTTTTTCTGGGTGAAAAGTACAGATTTGTACCTTTTCAGAACCTGATGTTTTAAAACAGAATGACAAAATACTCACTGCTAGATTTTAACATTTTTCCTGGCTGCCTAAGAGTTTTGCACAGTATGTCTCGGTGAGCGTTTGTGGACACTCACTAAAGTACTAGTGAAATAAGAAGTGGGCGAATTGGTAGAGCACTAACAGGAAGCTTCGTTTCTTTGATTTTCAGAAAACTGTACCATAATTAAGTTTTTCCGGGTGAAAAGTACAGATTTGTACCTTTTCATAACCTGATGTTTTAAAACAGAACAACAAAATAAAAGCCTGGAGACGAGACGGGGTGTGTGGAGTCAGCACAACTTAGAAAATATAATTTCAATGGATTATGGTTCAGTTATGTTCCCTGACTAAAGGTTCTGAGATGTACCCTTGAGGGTACCACCCCAGTGACAGTTTTTTTCCCTAAGAGTGGAGGGGGGTGGGGAAAGTCCCCAAAGAAAAATTATTTTTTGGCATTTTCCACTGTTTATCATATATTACATGTTTAAAAACTCTGAGGACGAGCTGTATATTCACTGGCCATTTTGTATAGTAAATAAAATGGCTATAATTCTGCTGTTGACTTAGTGAACCCTGGTTCTTTTCACCACCACTGTCGAGACAATCACAGCTAGTTTCTCTGCAGTGAACCATTTCACATCAAACCGCTCTGCCTGACAGATGTGAAGTTTTTGTGGCTCGTGCTGATAGCATTTTTAAAGGGATAGAAAATTTTGATAACACCAGCTGGTATGATTTTATATTTACACCACTTGTTTTTGTTAGATGGTTATTTACTAACTAAAAAGATTCAGTTCTTAATTGTTGTGGTAAGTGATATTTTTGTCGATGTTGTGGGTCGTCAGTAACAGCGGAAATCAGCCAGCCGATAAATTGGTTCAGCCCTCCTCATTGATTGTATCATGCATTCATTTGGACAAATTTCCCTTAATCTACCTTACCACAAGAAGTTGAAGCTGAGACCGAATTGCTGTTCCACACATCTGAATTAGATTCAGAGAAGAATTCTTGTGCAACACTGATGGATTCGATTGGACTGTCAGTGTGAGTCATAGAAGTGTTAGTTTATAGAAGCTGTCAAATTGTCAGGAAGCACCTGGCACTAAACTTTTCAAGGCATCCTTTGCAGCTGGATGTAACCTGAAATCCAGTGGCTGAGTGTTTCTTTGTGTAGTGATTTGTCTCCTTTTATTGCCAAAGTTATTCGTCAGGATTTTTCACAAGCTAAAGTAATAAGCATGATTGTAGCCCTGGGTCTTCAGAAAGATTAGAAAAAGACATCTAAAATAGGTGTAATCTCACCTGAATGAGAGATCTATAAGTGTCTAAATATTTGGAGAGGGTTTGGGGGTTTGGGAGGGTTTGATCTGGGCCTGGAAGTTTCATGCACAAAACCCTATTTGTGTTGCTATATAATGTCTTATGAAAGTGTAATTTTCTATAAGGTGATTATGCTGGCATTTTAACTTCCAATGGCTATTTTTTGATCCAAGTTAGGTATACGTTTACAGAACTGTCAAATATGAAAATGGTGAGATTTAATTAAGGTTATTTTGGGTAGTTAAGTGTGATTTAATCACATTTGTCATACTTGCTCAAAGTTGACTCTAAAAAGAGTGCTTCCATTTGGCAAGAAGTGTTGTATCTGCATGAGTGAATAAACTTTATAAGAATCTGTTTATTATTTTCAATAATTCAGTAACATTGTTTGTTTTTATCATGTGAGCTCAGTGTTTTGGGATAATTTGTCATTTTTATAATAGGTTTAGAATAATTTAGACATGTTGAATAGCGAAATTTTGATGTTTTGGAGTTTAAAAGGGGGTCAAACAATTTCAAAAAGTCAAGTGCACGTGTACAATAGCTACCTCTCTTTAGCATCACTTAAAGATGTGGCTAATTTGATTTGACAGTTTATATACTAGCCCTAGGTTAGGCTTCTTTTGAATTGGCACAATCCTGCTTGTTTTTTCTGAGATCAAGGATTTGTTTTTCAGTGTTTAACAACATACTAAATTGGCGTTCCAACAAAATGTTTCGTTTATTCCAAAGGTGACTCACTTTTGCAGTTTTGTCCACATTTTGCAGTTGTAGATTATCTAAGGTTTCAGATTTTTCCTTTTTTTCCTTCTGTATTTTCTTTGCAGCGAGCACTAGTTGGAGAGCATGGCTCACTCCAAGAATCGAGCCACAGATGGCAAGATCACCTACCCACCGGGGGTGAAGGAGATCTCTGATAAAATCTCAAAGGAGGAGATGGTGCGGAGGCTCAAGGTAAAGATCAATTCAAGTGAAGTATTCATCAGGTTCAGGCTTATTCTAGTTCAGATAAGGCTTGTGCTGAGCTGAGTTGTATCTTGAATCTGTTAGTGGATGGTCATCACTGGACAATTTAAATGTTGTAAAACATGCTGCACAAATAATAAGGAAATGTAAGTCAGTAGTAGATTATAATTCACTGTGTGTTATTTGGTTTACTTTGTTTTATTTTGTAGTTCTATATTAGCACAACATCCATGGTCAGGCTTTCAAACCAGATCAAAGCTATTCTGTAGCCGTCCGTAAGCGTAGCATCTTTTCTTATGAAAATGATTGTAGGCAAGGATGAAGTTGAGACAACAAACTTGTACACAATCGTACAAGCCTAGTTTATGCCATATTCTGTATATTTCTGCATGTTTTTTATGCAGTTACACCGTTTTCCTGGTCAGCATCAAATAATAAATGTTTCATTGCTCCTGGTGCTGTTTTTCATAGATGGTGGTGAAGACCTTTATGGACATGGATCAGGATTCAGAAGAGGAGAAAGAGCTGTACCTGAACCTGGCCTTGCACCTGGCCTCAGACTTCTTTCTAAAACACCCAGACAAAGACGTCAGGCTCCTAGTGGCCTGCTGCCTGGCTGACATCTTCCGCATCTACGCCCCAGAGGCGCCCTACACCTCACCAGATAAGCTAAAGGTAGGAGAGCTTTTGGAAAACCTATACAACCATATCACTGCATTAATTTGGTGTGTATTGTACAGGGTGATTCAAAAAGATCCAAATTGCTTATTTCACTTGTAAATCATTACAGAACAATGCAGTTAATTGTAAATGGTTTAAATGAGCATAAAGTTTATGTAATTCTAGAAGTGCTCAATATGAACCTCCTCCAGCAGTACAGACAACATCGACGCGATAGTCAAATTCATCCCGTACTCGATTGAGCATATCAGGTGTCACTGTGCTCACGGCTCTTTCAATACGATTTCGGAGATCGTCCAGTGTTGTTGGGAGTGGCACATAAATAGAATCCGTAACGTACCCCACAAAAAAAGTAACACGGCGTGAGATCTAGTGATGCTGGTGACCTTTTTCTTGGAACTGTTGGTACCAATGAAGAATGCTCTGAGCTGTTGGAGGTTCACTGCCATACTGACAGTCAGAAACTCTATGAACCCCTTTTTCAGTTGGTATGTGATTGGTTCCTAGGCGCCTCACGGTTGTAAAAATATGGCACTTGGAAATCGGATGAATCTTTTTGGATCGCCCTGTACGTTTAGTTGACAGCTCTATTTTGGAATTATTTTTTCTCCTTGATAAGTAGTCTGCATTCTCTTATTATTTTGGACATTTGCATGATTTTTAGTACTAATACCTACACTCCTAAAAATAAATGTCAGAGCTTTTGGAGCAATCCCACAAACACATGGTTTTCTAAAGAATCTTTTAGTAGATGGTCCCTTACAGCGCAATTTTTGTAAATGAAATGTGTGGCTTTTGAAAGAACCTTTTTCCAAGTTTTTATACCCATTAAAACATTTTCTGGCCAATCCTTGTACCATTTTGGACACTTTATTTCAAAGAGCCTAGTACATTTACAGGGGTTATAAAATACTTCTGCAGTTTGCTTATGGCATGAATGTAGTTTTTAGTGCTTTAGTGGAGAGAAGAGGAAAAAAGAAACATTTTAGCAGAGCAGCCTTGAATCCACAGGATTTAAAATATTTAGCTCATGCTTCTGTCCTCCTCTCCCCCCAGGATATATTTATGTTCATAACTCGACAGCTGAAAGGATTGGAGGACACCAAAAGTGCCCAGTTCAATCGATATTTCTACTTACTGGAGGTACGTGACAAGAGATGCTCAGTTCATTTTCACTAAGCACTGTACTGGCTGCATAGCAATGTTCTTTTTTTCCGCCCTACGTGTGCCCTGACAGAATATTGCCTGGGTGAAATCGTACAACATCTGCTTTGAGTTGGAGGACAGCAATGAAATATTTACTCAACTGTACAGAACCCTCTTCCAAGTGATCAAGTGAGTCTCTCTTTTCCTATATGTGAAAGTCTTTATACATGCTTTCCACACACGTCTCTCCATAATGACCATTATTCTGTATTGCTGTTCGTGCACACATCAGCTTGCAGCTTTTCTGTCCTCCCATGATCATAATTCAGAAGGGCACGGTTGTAGTTTACCACGTGCTGATGTAAATGGAAAGCTGTGGCTTATTCATTATGTTGTAATGAGCTGTCAGCCTCCTGTCCGCTGATATTATTTCCCTGCGTGCAGTTCAGTTGACAGTGCTCTGTGTGAGAGTCCCAGGTGGGACCTCTCATTGGGTGTGCTGTGTAAAAGCCGTGTGCAGGGGTGATTCATCTCACCCTCTGTTGCTCACCCAGCTGGAAATGTCCTCACCGGAGGGAACACAGTGGAGAGCTGATGAGCTCATGTTTAAATGGGGTAAAAAAAAAAAAAGAGCCTCTCTCTCCCAGACTCCCTGTAATGCACCACCTGCAGAAATGAATTTAAAAAGCTGTGTGTACATTAGCTTTGTGTTTCAGGACTAGTGGTGTAATGACGTATTTTCAGCGATGATATTCGGTTCTAATTATATACCCTTGTTATTGTATAGCATGTCTCCATTTTCTACCACCCAGTATTAAAATATCAACATATTGCAAAAGCGCAATTTAAAAATTTGCCAAATTGACGGAGAGCATCACACACTTAACATCAGGTTTTTACAGAATTTCTAAAAGAGAGTGTAACACATGAGTTTAAGTCCCGAAAAGAACCTCAAAAGCTCAAATCTCCCTCATTATCGTGTGAAGGAAACAAAGCTGAAACTGGAGCAGACCTGCTTGTGACTTTTGTGCACACTCAAGAAAAGTCCCAGCTACAAACTGGGAATGAATATGGAGTTGAGAATCGCAGATATCATTGTGAGAGCTATAGAAATATTTTATTGCAAACTGGCTGCTGGCTTGAAGTTGTAGAATGTAGAGAGTGACTGTTTGCTTGTGTTCATCAAGCAGCTTCATGATGCACTGCACATGCTGGTGTGCATACACTGTCTGCCTCTCTTTTTCTGTTTTGTTTTTTTAAATTGTTATTCTAGACAACAAATACTGGTTGTATTGTAAGCCTAGTTGTTTGTTTGCATTTTGAACAGGAAAAAACAGGCTTTTTTTATTATTATTTATTTTCATTTTTAAATTATTTATTCATTTATTGAACAAAGTAGAACCTGATGGATTTTTATGAACCAAATGCCAGAGAAATACAGAGTAGGAAGAAGAAATGGATTTCTCTTGCAGTAGAGTTATTTATTATTTTTCTTGGCACCGCATTCTACAAAAACACAACAGCAACCATGACTGCTCTTTTTTTTTGCACATCTGTACAAATCAGAAAATCGAACTTCATAAAAATGAAAATAAAAAAAAAAGCATAGCATTCCCGTTTGTCAGTTTCGGGCTCAGTGTGAAAGACTACCTTCCTATGCATGTGTTTGTTTCCAAAACTTGATGTGCAAAAAAAAAGTTGATCTGGCTTTTAGAGACAGTAGTAAGTAAGATAATCTGGCATTTGTGCTGTAAAACTAGAAGCTTTTTATGGCTGTTTCTCCTCAGCAATGGCCACAATCAGAAGGTGCACATGCATATGGTGGACCTGATGAGCTCAATCATCTGTGAGGGTGACTCCGTCTCTCAGGAGCTTCTGGACACTGTCTTGGTCAATTTGGTTCCCGCACACAAGGTACGCTGCACAAATGCGCAATTATCCGCCTTTGAGTAATTACTGCATGTGTGACTGTAATATTCACGGCTCGTACTAATTCTGAAATGTCTGCAGAATCTGAATAAACAGGCGTATGACCTGGCCAAAGCCTTACTGAAGAGGACTGCACAGGCCATAGAGCCTTACATAACTAATGTGAGTGGATTTTACAGCTATAAGCTTAAATTGTCTGTTTTTGTATGTTGTGGGTTTTTTGTGTTTGGATTTTTTAGGTTTAAATTCTTAACAAGATCCTGGGGTTTGACACTTACCCTCAAGCGACCATGCAGTGATCAGAAGCATTTTCAAGTATACAGAGGAAGCTCGGGTTAGAAACCACAGTGTTATGCCATAATACGAGCTTCAACTTGACCACATTCATCATTAGCGCCCACAGGAACAGGCGGACAGTGTGCTGTGCTGGTGGGTCTGTTCCCCACAGTCCTCATTAAAAGCACACAAACTCTAGAGCGAGTGAGTGCAGATGTCCTGCTGGGACTGGAGACCTCCTTAGTGACAGAACAGTGGACTGGGGGGCACTACAGGGTCATTAAGCAGCACTGGAGAGCTGTTGTGCTTTAATGGTAATGGAGTACCAGTTTGCCCTGATCGAATACTACTTTACATGGAAAGATATGTAAAATGTACTCAGTTTTTCTCCTCATCCCAGATGTAATCCCAGAAGTGTTTGAAGTTTTCATGTTTGGTTTTGCACTGCAGCCACAAGGCTACTGTAGCTAACAAGCAATGGAAGCTTATACCCCACAGGTTAACACAGCATACATAAATCCTCACATACTTGCCTCAAACTATGTCAAATTAAGTAATTTCAGGTACTTCATAAAGTGTCAAGGTGCATAAGTCAGCGTATGTCGCCAAGCTACCAACAGTAGTAGCAGCCAGCCACCTGAAAGCTTAGATTTTGTCTGTACTTTTATCCATTTTAATAGATTACAGCATCTCATACTATGTTACAAACCACATAAGGAAGCTTCGAGACAAGTATGAGATTATTTGGGTAGGGATGCACCGATATGTGGGCTGAAGCTGATATTCAGTATTTTTTTTCTTAATTTATTTATGTACATCTCTGCTAATACATTAATGTTTTTACAATGGGTACAGTGGCTTTTATTCAACACTTCATATACTGTTTTGCACTAAATCCAAATAAAAAGCATTAATTATGTGGACTTTGTAATGAAATAAACGGTTGGTCAATGTTTAAGTATAGCCGATATCTAGGATACATTCAGAAAACATTGTTAATCACATTAACAAAAATTGTTGCTGTAATAATGAAATATTGTCTTATTGCCCACCTCTAAATGTAGACACTGGAACTGTATGTACCTGGTTTAGCATAATAGAGAAATATGCCATTTATTTCAACAGAAATGTACAAATGCAGTAAAATGAATAAAATGCAGTCGTTTTAGAGCAGCAGCACAACACTGTCTGAACCTTGTTCTTTTCAGGAGTATTGAAAAAATACATTCTTAAAATATTTATTTGAAATAGGGCTGTAGGTAGAACCACTTTTGAGGCATCCAACACAAGTCCAAGACTAAGAGTAATTTGAATCAAGTTCAGGCTGAGTCCAAATGAAAGTGAGTGGGTCAAGATCGAAGTCCTCTTGGAGAACAAGCCTTAACTAGTCTGTACCTGCTTCTAGTACAGATGTCTAGAACAATATTCAAAAATAACTATCCAATTAAAGTCATAATAAAATACTTCTTCTTCTGCTTACAAACACGTGTATGGTGTTTGTATGGTGTTGCGTGGTGTTCTTAAACTGATATTTTTAGCTGTCTCCTGTTTTTATGAGACTTGGCAGAAACAATACAGTTTATCCAGAATTTCTGAAGTCAGTTTACTGCCAGATGTTTAGTGTTATCCAATTTGTGCACATGCTTTTCAAATGAATGAAAACCTCAGCCTTCCAACCTAACATAGCTGAATACTGCTTTCTAATCTAATCTATGAACACTGTCAGCTAGCTAGTAAATATAGGTGCAAATATGCATCTTTGAGTCCATTTAGCAGTTAAACAGCAGGTTAATTTACCTCCTTTTGAGGTGCCCAAGTGTGATTCAGTGCGACAAAACACCTGTAATATGGATTTGAAAATTTTGAACACCCTCTCTAAATGATCACACACAGTGCCCACTCTGTATGAATCCAGCCAATATGAATGCTAATTGGCTGAATGAAACACAGACAAGACACAATGATTTGGTTTTGAACAGGGGTTAAATTGGGATTTCAGAGGTGAGGGAGTCCTTTTTTCATGGACATCAACAGTGTGGGGAGTTAATATTGTTCAGGGTTTGTATGGTGTTGCGTGGTGTTCTTAAACTGATATTTTTAGCTGTCTCCTGTTTTTATGAGACTTGGCAGAGACAATACAGTTTATCCAGAATTTCTGAAGTCACCTTACTGCCAAATGTTTAGTGTCATCCAATTTGCGCACATGCTTTTTTAAATGAATGAAAACCTCAGCCTTCCAACTTAACATTATTAACGAGTTCAACTCTGATTAGAAAGCAGTATTCAGCTGTGAGCACTGTTAACTAGCTAGCAAATATAGGTGCAAATATGCCTCTTTCAGTTAAACAGCAGGTTAATTTAACTCCTTTTGAGGTGTGATTCAGTGCGACAAAAAGAAAATGCAAAAAATGCAATTATTTTAAATGATGATTGGACTTTTTTCGAGGCCAGAGAATAAATTTGGCGAGACTAATGGCAAGTTTGAGTACAACTGCTACAAAGTCCAAGACAATTGAAAAATAAAATAAGTGTAAGGTACAGCCTTGTACCGCAGAACTAGCGTGAAATATCAGTCAAATCTAAACATGCGTTCAGTGCTGATTTTTAAAAGTGTGTGTGCGTGTGTGTGTGTGTGTGTGTGTGTGTGTGTGTGTGTGTGTGTGTGTGTGTGTGTGCGTGCGTGCGTGCGTGCGTGTATATATTATATCTGCTGATATAATACCAATATCATTGAACATTCTTAGATTAAGGTCTTCAGGTACTTGTTAGCTACATTAGCCAGTTTCAGTACAAGACTAAAGAAGCAAACAAAGCATGTTTGGCTGACTATGTTTCAGGTAAGAGAAAAACTGTGCAAATGTGATTTGTTCCTTTTTCTGTTATCAGAATGTTTACTATGTTGCAGTATTTGTTCCGTTTTATAATTAAATGAAGTGCTGTTGCATATTTCGAGCCACTTCTAGACTAGTCATTTTCTTTTGGTTGTTCTGATGAAAGCATTTCAACTTGAGTGAATACTTCTTTTTATAAAGGTGTGGTTTGATTCCATGTCAGTCCTCACCTCTGTCTGTGTGATAAACATGGTCCCTGAAACTACTGCTGGAGCTGATTCCAGATCAGTATAGCAAGGGAACGACTCTGCCCTCCTGACAGTGATGAATGGAGGCATGTGAACTGTGGCTGTGTTTCTCTCAGTTCTTTAACCAGGTGCTGATGCTGGGGAAAACTTCAGTGAGCGACCTGTCAGAGCACGTCTTTGATTTAATCCTGGAGCTCTACAACATCGACAGTCATCTACTCCTGTCTGTACTGCCTCAGCTAGAGTTTAAACTGAAGGTAAGATGGAGCGGCCTCCCTTCAGCAGCCTAACACTCGGATGCATAGTTGTGAACAGTCATGAGTGAATTTTAATATACATGTGTGTTTAAACATGCTCTAAACACAAATGATGACAGTAGCAGAGAAGAAAGTGAGATGCCCTCTGGCAGTGTGTTTTATATTGTTTGGCACATTGGTCTGAGCATGCAAATTTCCATCTGTTGGCTGTAGCCATGGGCCAAGTATTATATTTGATGATTCTTTTAGTCTGAAAGTTGTAGGTTAAATGAGAGTTAATTTGTAAGAATGAGATTTATATGATGAAATGGTGTGTTCATTAAGTGTCATCAGTGCATGTATGTAGTATTTCCCTTTGTGTAGACTTTCATTAAGCCTGTTACAATAGCCTAGCTTATCCCACTCTAGTCTTTCTACAAAGTACAATAAGAAGGAAGACTAAATAGACTAAATTACAGATGAATTAATTGACCCTGGCTTTAGTTTCTGCAGCTGTATTTATGGAAAAGCACTAATCTGTGAGTTTGTGCCTGTGTCTGCAGAGTAACGATAACGATGAGCGCCTTCAAGTTGTGAAGCTCTTGGCTAAGATGTTTGGGGCTAAGGATTCTGAGCTAGCCTCTCAGAACAAACCTCTGTGGCAGTGCTACCTCGGGAGGTAGAGCTTCTTCATTATTATGCCATTCTCATTTTCTAATCCCAGGCTAATGAACCCTTTTTTTCTCAGTGGAGCCTTGTTGATGTTAAACGCCTGCACTTTCACAGGTTTAATGATATCCATGTTCCTATTCGACTGGAGTGTGTGAAGTTCGCCAGTCACTGTCTGATGAACCATCCTGACTTGGCTAAGGACCTTACAGGTAGGACAAACACCTTAGACAATAGGGCTGCACAAAATATTGTTTTTTAATCATTATTATGGTACTGATCTTTTTAATACTGATATGTGAGAAGGCTACAATATTCAAATGAGCCCTTTAACCAATCACAGTAGTCTAGAAGCCTGCTTTGTGCAGTTGATCAGTCATAGTCAAGGGGAGGCTTTAGAACAAATGATGTAGTGATTAGGGCCCTTCACGGTCAGGGGCCAGTCTCGTTGCAGTGATTAGGAGTTCTGTTTAGTAAGTAGTGACACTGCATGAACAAGCAGAGCACCATGTCATACCGGCTAAAAAAGGTTTTCTTTTGAAATATACTGTTGGCTTAACTGTGTTGCTCTGAGTATCCTAACCATTATCAGTTCCAGATGTCAGTTTTTGTGGGTGCTTTGATGAATCAAAGTATTCATGTAATCCAATAAATTATGTTGGTCAAAATAATGCAAGCCTGTGTTTAAAAACCCACTTGTGAATCAATAATGTTTTATGGTTAAAAAGCCCATATCATGGAAAACTTGATGTTCCACATGTTTTCTCTAAATCAAACGTATTAGTTTGATGTAGTATGCAAACGCTGTTGAAGTTTCAAAAGAAACATTTCATTCCCCAGTCTATATGATGCATAGATGAATCAAAAAAAGTTTCAAAAAAGCCTATTTTGAAAAGTGTTTTTGTGATATTACAAAAATCAACATCATTTCCGTACATCCACCTATTCAGCCTACGGCAGTTTAGCTCTACTCATTCACTCTGAGGTTACAAGGAGTGTCTGGACTGAATTTTGCATAGGCACAATACAAGGCAGCCAGTCAGAACAGAAGTAATTTACATAAATCAGTCTTTTAAGGAACGGTAACAAAAAGAGCCTGCTTATTTTTAACAGATAAAGATAGTAGGGTTGGGTGATATGGCGCAAAAAAAAAAATACCTTGGCACTTCAAAACATTGACATGATACTTGAGATTCATCGCAGTATTTGAGATTTCTGTGGTTTGATAAGTTGAAACATACTTTCACATACTGTTCTGACCTAAACACAATTAAACAGGACTAATTATACTGTTACTATTGCCCCCCTCTAAAAGAGAAGTTGGAAAATGGTCATGTAAACACACATAATGACATTATGATACATAAACCTACGACAAAGTCTTAAGTGGGTCTTAAAAAGCAACAAAATACAGTGTTTTCATTCTGATCTTTATGGACCTTTTTGTACTTGCAGAATATCTTAAAGTGAGGTCCCATGACCCAGAGGAAGCCATCCGGCACGATGTGATCGTGTCCATCGTTACTGCCTCTAAAAAAGATCTGTCGCTGGTCAACGATCACTTGCTGAACTTCGTGAGAGAGAGGACACTTGACAAGCGGGTGAGTTCTTTTGGAACTCAGTGTCCAGTAGTATTATGCCGTTTCTAGATGGGTGGTATTTTCCCTCTTCTCTGCCATCAGAGCCCAGGACAAGACGCTCCAACCTTGTGATGTCAGTGCAGTTGACTAGCCGTGCTCAAGCACATTAACTCTGTGGTTTCTATCCAGACCCACTACGTTTTTTCTCCTAATCTAATCTGCAGGCTTTTTGAGCTGCCAAGCAGTGGAGGTCCAATGAAATAAATTGAACCATTGCTCACATATAGCTGTTCTTCAGCCTTTTCAAACCACATTTAGGGTGAAATCTAATTGATCCTCTTTTTGGCCACCTGCATGAATGACACTGCTGCTGACATTATGCCTGTTCGTTCTTCCATGTGTAGATGAGCACAGAAAGCACTGATAAGCTGCTTTTATTGAAACGCTGCTATTTTTCCCACCAGGTTGCTTTGTCTCAAATTATAGTGATTAAAGAATTAGGTTTATTTTACTTACTCCTTTCACAGTGATATTATTTGGAGCTAAAACTTCAAACCATTGTTCATTTTTGGGCCTTGCACAAAAAGCTCTGACCGCAGTTGTCTTATCTTTGGTGCATTTGTACCCTCTACCAAAGCAGATTAATATCTGAGTGATTCATTGGTTTTGGCTGTGCCTCATTGTTTATTCCATAAGGGTTTGTTATTGCATATGAGTGCATAATTTTTCCACTTAGTTCTGTATTTTTTGCTGACTGATTTTATGACAGTATTAATATCCCACGTGCTTTACATGATGCTTCCACAGTAAGTGCTAGTTTTTCTTGTACGTGTTCTGTTACAGTGGAGGGTGCGTAAAGAAGCTATGATGGGCCTTGCACAGATCTACAAGAAGTACTCGCTGCAGGCAGAAGCAGGCAAGGAAGCAGCCAAACAGATCTCCTGGATCAAAGACAAACTGCTGCACATCTACTATCAGAACAGCATAGATGACCGGTGAGTGGACCTGCGCAGGAAGATACTTGCTGTTTGTGTTCCTTCTGTTAAAAGTTAAACCTGTAAAATTATAGGTTAGTGTAGTTGTGTTCAATATGTGGAAAAGTGTCTGTTATAGTTTGAATCTGAATTGGCCTTCGTATTTAATTTAGCCTGGTGCTTAGACATTCCTGTAGCTGCATTCCTGTAGTTTTTTGCCTTCCTTGGCCCAAACTGAAGCTTGGAACACAGTGGGCCAAACAAAGTGTAAATATAATAAAAACACTTTACATAAACTTTTGAAAATGTTTAGTATGTAAGCTGCAGTGTGTGCCATGAAGTTATGCTTTGGCTCTGGTGTTTGAATTTTTTTGTTTTTTCCAAATACTACAGATGGCAAATGGTCTGAAATCTGTGGAGGAGAAGTCATTAGGTGTTGTGTTGGGTGTTTGATAGTGTCTGGAAATATCCCTCAGAAAAACCATGAAATAGCTCCAACCTGCTGATGTTTTCCATTGTTTATGTTTTGCCGCTTTAACACTTTGAATGCGTCTCTGCTGACCAGTACAAGAGAGCTAAGAAAACACACAGCATTCCTAGTTTTCATTACCATTAAAACTATTTGCAAAGTCTTAGACTGGTACTTTATTGTAGGCCTATTTAGTCTTTTATTTTTATTTGATTAAACTTTTCATCTGTGTTTCTCTTTCAGCCAAAAACAAAGTGGCATCCCTTACATCCTCTATTGATAACATAACTGTAAGGAGTGTGTTTCTATGATTACGTTACAGAAGGTGTAGTCCTGATTCAGTGGTGTGTAGTATGCATGGTGAGAGAATCCATTGTGGGGGAAAAACTAGTTCTATATCTTTAATGTTAATAATGTGGGCATCTGTGTATTAGAAGTACAACCCTATTTCCATCTCCTGTGTTAGAGCAATTATTTGTTCTCTTGTCATGAGAACATGTCCTTGAAAATGATATCTTTATGTGTCTGTGGTGGTGTAACAGCTTAGGAGTTGCTAAGAGTGCAGTACTTTTTCAGGTGCAGCATTTATTAAGGTGTTTTATACTTTTGACTCATGAAAATATTTCTCAAGGTCCCAAAGGTGAGAGAGACTACAGGCCATAGTAATTGTCATTGAATTATCCTACCAGACATTTTCCCCTGGCCAAATAAATGACAGTGTAGCTTTAGTAATAAAAATTGATTACTCTGTAATGCTGCACACCACCTTATGTGCCATAAATTTCTTTATTATTACACTCAGTAGGCACAGTGTTGCAGTGGGTAGCGTTGTCGCATCATAGTGCTACCCACTGATGTCATGTCTGTGTGGAGTTGTTCTCCCCGTGACTGCGTGGGTTTCCTCTGGGTGCTCCGGTTTCCTCCCACAGTTCAAAGACATGCAGTCAGGCGAATTGGAGATGCTAAACTGGCCCTAGGTGTGACTGTGTGTGTGAATGTACATGTCTGTGCTTCTGCCCTGTGTTGGACTGGCAACCTGTCCAGGGTGTTTCCTGCCCTCCGCCCGATTGGCGCTGGGATAGGCTCAAGCACCCACCGTGACCCAGGAGGATAAGCGGCTTAGAAAATGTATAAGAAATAAGAAAATTTATTCGATTGACTTTGCAGAGGCTTGTAATATGCAAATTTTATTAATGGATAAAGAACGTGACTGCTTAGGATCCAGGTTGTATTTGCTACATTATGTTTTTCCGAAGACGCCATTTTATACTGTGTAGAAAGATGTTTTTTCCAGTGAGAACCTGCTTCTTTTCCTTCACTAACAGTGCTTTAACATTCTCTGTATGGAGCTGCACTGTGCCAGGTCTGAGTGGAAGGGAATAATGATGAAGTGTGCTGCATGACTGCATTCTCCCTGTAGGTTGGAGTCTGCATTCATAAAGGAGAGAGAAGAAAATACACTGATAGCATCAGGAAACTGCACACTGATCCTGATGCTCCTCATACAGACTTGTCTGACTGCAGAGATGAGGAGTGGCGAGAACAGCATCAAGAAATAACCAGGGGCCAAATTGCTCACATTTTAACGTTTTTAAACCCTTTAAAACTGAGTAGAATGGAAGCAAAAAATCCAGCATGAATAACATTTGTAAATAAATAGCTATGTATTTTAAAATTATTGTGCTTTTACTGTGTTGTCAAGCTTAAGTGTTTTTTGTATTTTCTAAAGTTTTGATATAAAATGCCTCTAAACTGCAGTCAGTTAGAGTATAAATTGCTTTTTAAAAACATTTTTTTTTATCTCAGGAGAACATGATCATGGTTTCTGACTTTGCCAGTCAGATCTTATTCCTTTAAACAATTGTATGAAACCCTTGCATTACATATTAAGCTTTTCTGTTGTATGTCAGGGTTAAATATGTTAATCTATACAAAATTGAGTCCCTGTGCTATGAGCATTTTTGATGTGATTTGCAGTTATTGATCAAAAAAGTGAAAACCTGGCAACAAATGCTTAATCTCTCTTTTAGTTATAAACTACTGCAGAGTAGATGTCTCTGCCTTTTTTCAAAGTAAATGCAGGTGGCAGCTGTATGTAAGTGCAGAAAAGCTTGTTTGGGATTGTTTGTTTCTCAGTTTTTCCTCTGTATGTGATCTAATTTCTTTCTTGTCCTAATGCAAATTTGTTGTAGTTTTCATAAAAAAAATGAAAATAATCTATGTAAATGGTTTTGTTCCTGCCAGGTTGCTTGTGGAACGAATCTTTGCACAGTACATGGTGCCTCACAATTTAGAGACTACAGAACGGATGAAGTGTCTGTATTACCTATATGCTACGTTGGATTCTAATGCAGTAAAGTAAGTCCACTAATGACCGCTAGATAGACTGAGCTTAGCTTGGGTCTCTCTCCACCGCAATACCACATCACGTGACCATCTTAATGTTTTTACATTCATTATTCTGCAGATGTTCTACATACCCTTGTATATAGTTTGTATTGGCCATTATAGTTGATGCATTAACAGATATATAATGCTAATATTAGGTTAACAAATTGTTTTCTCAGAGCCCTGAATGAGATGTGGAAGTGTCAGAATATGCTACGGCACCATGTCAAAGATCTGCTGGATCTTGTGAAACAGCCAAAGGTAGGTTCTGTCTGTCCTGTGTTGCGATAATTTGAGATCCTGAATATCATGTTCTGTGATTCACAAGTATGACATAACTTAATTTTATTTTCCTTCTTTTAGTCGGACTCCTACAACAAGGCGGTCTTCTCAAAAGTCATGGTCATCACAAGTACGTCTTACATACTCCTTGAACTGATGAGATCAAGACCAGATCTCTTGTTGTAATAGGATGAGAATAGAGTTCATCTGATCTGTGTGTCTGGTGGCTTTCTTAGGGAACTTGCCGGATCCAGGCAAGGCACAGGACTTTGTGAAGAAACTGGTTCAGGTTCTGGAAGAGGACGAGAAGATCAGGAAGCAACTGGAGACACTGGTCAGCCCCTCCTGCTCCTGCAAGCAGGCTGAGGTCTGCGTGGTAAGTCTCTGCTCTCATGCTCCTTTACTTTGATACGGATTTTCTTTATTCCTGCATTTGAATATTTTAAGGGTTTGATAGACTGAAGTAACTGCTGTGCCTTCACAGTATTGACTTGTGTGACTGAATGAAAGGATAGCATAACATTTTTGAGGTCTGGAATATAAAAATACGTAATGACTGACACTTTGAGACACTGCTTTGTTGCTATATCATCATATTTTACCTTGTTGGACTTGTATTTTGCTGTTCAGAAAAGAAATAGCATGTGTTAGACCAAGTGTAAGAGATGCTCAATTGTTTTACAGCAAACTTACATCTGTCCTTGCTTGTGTTTTCTACAGAAAGATATTACGAAAAAACTGGGCAGCCCCAAGCAGCCCAGCAACCCTTTCCTGGAGATGGTGAAGTTCTTATTAGAAAGGATTGCCCCTGTCCATATTGACACAGAGTCCATCAGGTACAGTTCGCCGACACTATATCCTTTCTAATCCTGGCTGGTTTCTCATCCATCACCTGACTTGCCATCTCATTCTTTCCTTCTGCAGTGCACTAATCAAACAGGTGAATAAGTCCATAGAAGGGACAGCTGATGATGAAGATGAAGGTGTACCCACTGAGCAGGCTATTAGAGCTGGCCTAGAGCTCCTCAAGGTAATGATGCACTCATTTCAGCATTGATTGGTGATAGTGACTGTGTTGGCAGGGATTTTCTGACTAGAGAAAAACTCATTAGTATTGAGCGAGCATGTTTATTTTTCATTTGTTTCCCTGCATCCATTTCAGCTACAAAAAGTAATTATGTGGCAGTTATTTGAACTGGGCAAGTGATCAATCCATAAATGAATTTTACTGAGTACATCAGTGAGGGGACACACAGTGCCACTGTGTCATCAGATTATCACATGCTCATTATTAATTTGTTGGCTTCTTGTCAACAAAGAGTGTATATTGTCTTTTTGTTGACAAGCAGTTAACAAAGGACAGTTGACCACCTGCCTCTTTAATCATTTGAACCACTGAGGGCAAATATATTATGAAGCATAACCCCCTGTGCTGAATGATGTATAATTTATAAGTGCTCTGAAAATAAAGTGTGTCGCATGCCCCCAGGTTCTGTCCTTCACTCATCCGGTGTCCTTCCACTCGGCTGAGACGTTTGAGTCTCTCCTCGGCTGTCTGAAGATGGACGACGAGAAGGTGGCTGAGGCAGCACTGCAGATTTTCAAAAACACTGGCGGGAAACTGGAGGAGAGCTTCCCACACATCAAATCGTGAGTGGGATGCCAGACTCTCGCCAGCTGTGCACTTTCTGCAAAAGAACGTTGGCCAGGGGTTGATGCATGGATTGGAATGACTTGTTATTTGATTATTTATTATTTATTTATACAAACAACCCAATTTCCAAAGAGGTTGGGACACTGAAAAATGTAAATAAAAACAAAATGCAGTGATGTGCAAATCATTTAAACCCTATATTTCATTGAAAATGCAAGACAACATATCAAATGTTGAAACTGAGATTTTTTTTTTTCTGAAAAATATATGCCCGTTTTGAATTTGATGCCATCATGTTCCAAAAAAGTTGGGATGGGGGCAACAAAAGGCTGGTAAAGTTGTGTAGTGCTTAAAAAAATGCAACATCGTTCAGGTCAGTAACATCATTGGGTATAAAAAAGCATCCCAGAGAGGCTTTCAGAAGTGAAAGATGGAGAGGGGTTCACCACTCTGTGAAACACTGCACAATCAAATAGTACAACAATTCAAGAATAACGTGTCTCAACATAAAATAGCAAAGAACATGGAGTTCCTCATCTATAGTACATAATAACATTAAAAGATTCAGAGAATGTGGAGAAATCTCTGTATGCAAGAAACAAGGCCAAAAAGCAGTTTTTGCTGGCCGTAATCTTTGGGCCCTCAGGCAGCACTGCATTAAAAACAGACATGATTCTGTTGTGGAAATCACTGCATGGGCTCAAGCACTTCTGAAAACCACTGTCTGTGAAAACTGTTCAGCACTAAGTTAAAACCATATATAAACAGGATCCAGGAACGCTGCCACCTTCTCTGGGCCCGAGCTCATTTAAAATTGACTGAGGGGAAGTGTCCAGTGGTCCAACGAGTCAACATTTGAAGTTCTTTATGGAAATCATGGACCCTGTGTCCTCTGGGCTAAAGACCACTCAGCTTGTTATCAGCGCACAGTTCAAATGCCAGTATTCATGATGGTACAGGGGTGCATTAGTGCACATGGCATGGGTGACGTGCACATCTGTGAGGGCACCATTAATCCTGAACAATATATACATGTTTTGACAACATATGGTGGCACCCAGACAACGTCTTTTTCAGGGAATGCCTTAATTATTTCAGCAAGACAATGTCAAACCACATTCTGCATGTATTATAACAGCATTAAGAGTCTGGGCGCTAAACTGGCCTGTCTGCAGTCCAGACCTGTCACCACTGAAAACATTTGGCACATTACAAAATGAAAAATACGACAAAGGAGACCCTGAACTGTTGAGCAGCTGAAATTCTGTTAAGCAAAAATGGGAAAACATTTTACTTTCAAAACTACAGCAGTTGCGTCTCCTCAATTCCCAAACACCTACAGTGTGTTGTTAAAAGAAGAGGTGATGAAGCACAGTGGTAAACACGCCCCCGTCCCAACTTTTTTGGAAGGTGGTTGGCATCAAATTCAAAATGCGCATATATTTGTCAAAAAACAATAAAATTTCTCAGTTTCAACATTTGATTTGTTGTCTTTGAAGCATTTTAATGAAATATAGGGTTTAAATGATTTGCACATCATTGAATTTTGTTTATTTACATTTTGCACAGCATCCCAACCTTTTTGGAAATAGGGTTATATTTATGGTTTGCAGTGATTCAGACCATTTTAATAGACTTGCACCATACAAACTAGAGAATGCCTTTGTCTTTTTTTTTTCTTTCTTTTTCATTTTGGCTTAAGCTGCCTTTTAATAAGTTACAAGTTGAATGTATTTGAATAGGTCCAGATACTTCATTTTGTCATGCCTGTGTTCATTATTAATCCCCCCCCCCAGGGTTCTTTTGCCAGTACTGCAGCACAAGGCCAAAAAGGGCCCACCCCGTCAAGCCAAGTATGCCATACGCTGCATTCACTCCATGTTCTCAAACAGAGACACCCACTTTGCACAGATATTTGAGGTGAGTTTTCCAACAGCATTTTTCCATTATAACGTGGCCTTTTTGGGTTCATTTACATAGTGAGTATTTAAAGCAAAATTGCTATTCACAATTTCATCGCATTCATATCAAAATGAGTAAGTACAATGATGCACTGCCTGCTAGGCCTGGGCAATGTAATCAGATATCATTGATGATAAGTTAAAAAAAAAAAATAAGTGCGTGTGTCTCCTGTGGGAGATTTTGCTGAGTAAAATTTGCAGTATTTTCTGTGCAGTTTAAATGTCCCGGTCCTTAGTTAAATTATGAAAACTCTGCTATAACCACGGGACACACCTTGTGTTATGTGGAAAGTGTGAGGTCATGACTTTGGAAATCACTTGCAGTCTGAAGTTTTTCCACGCAAGTCACCATAAATCTGCACCAAAAGATGATCATGAACACGTGTTTGCCATAGTGTTAATTAAAACGACAGAGTTTTCAAAATATTTTGGGTTACTCAATATTATTATTTAGTATGTGGTTTTTATGAAAGATTAAAACAGTTAATGTTCAAAAAGCATGTACACTCACGCACTCACAGATTTAGCAGGCTGAAAATCTTCCACATTGACGCCCTGTTAATACCAAAGTACATTCTGTTGCTTCATAAGAGTGGTGCTTTGCATCAGTGCATCAAATCCTTATTGACCTACTGGTGAGTAATGGTAGTAAACTATTTTGGATGCAGCCACAGTTTAAAACGAAGCCTGCTTTTGCACAGTTGTTTGAGATTAATTTTTTTTCTTTATCACATGACTGTCTACAAAGTAATTCATACCACCCTGACCATATTTCTCCTCGGTTATAGCCTCTGCATAAGAGTCTGGACACAGAGAACATGGAGCAGCTCATAACTCCTCTCACCACACTGGGCCACCTGGCCATGCTGGCTCCAGAGCAGTTTGCTGGACCCCTCAAATCCCTGGTGGCCAACTTCATCGTCAAAGACCTGCTAATGAATGACAGGGTGAGAAAAACAAAACACAGCAGGCTAAAAAAGTCTGATAAAAATTGTCAGCTTGTAAGAGTTCATGTTTGACTGCTGAATTATGTTAAGAGAAGTACCCTATAAATTGTGATCCAACCTGGTTAAAACAAAATGATGATGTGTTTTGAATGTCTGAGCTTTTTTTCCATGATACATTGCCTGATATTGAGGTTTGTTGAACTGATTTAACTGCAGCACACTTACTTTGGCACAGCTGTCTCTGAAGGCTATGAAAGTTGTTAACCCTTGTGTGGTGTTTGGGTCTGTGGGACCCATTTTCAACGTTTACCAAAAGAAAAAATATTGTTTTAAAATAATGTTTGTTGTGTTTTTTTTTTTCTTCAACCTCCTGATTCCTAGGCCTTTGCCCATTTTCTGTGAAGAACATATAACACATTTTCAGTGTCTTCATACTGTTCACCCCTACACCTTTATATTGCACGTGGTGTTGGGGAATAAAACCTGCAGGAATAAAAGTGTGGAGGTGCTGTGTCCCTTCGTTCTATTGTCCTCTTACATGGCCTGCTGTGAGTGTGTGTGTGTGTGTGTGTGTGTGTGTGTGTGTGTGTGTGTGTGTGTGTGTGAGAGGGTAGACAACAAGGACAGGCTGCTGACTGGCTACAGCTGCTAAAGGAGAACCCTACACTGGCCACTTGTGATACTTTAAACATCTGGTATTTTACATAAATTGTTACGGCTGTATTGACCAAAAAAAAATAAACCAATAATGCGGTGGGTCCAACAGACCCACTGAGTAATAACAACATCAACACCACACAAGGGTTAAAGTTCAGATTAAAAGCAGGGCCTGACTGATATGAAAATTGTGACCTGACACTGATTTTAAGGAGCTTAAATTGATTTTGTCTGATATAATTGATATAATTCTTTTTAGTTTTAATTAGTTTCAGTTAAAAAATGTTTTCCTGACCGATGAGTCAGTTGTCTGGTAACAGCTGATGAAAATTCAGTTAACTGAACTGTCACGTTCGTCAGTGATCAGTTGCAGCGTGGATGAGGGAGCTTCCCAAAGTCATTAGAGACTAATTGTTAATTGGCTCTTATTTTTCTTACTGTACCTCAGTTCTCTTAACTGAAATACATTTTTGTATGTGGTAATATTATCCTCATACTGAGGGTTAGATTTAGATGCATTTTACATTTATGTTAATCAAGATACTATTTTGTGTTCAAATGTATCAGGTTAGCCTCTGCTGCTGTAATAAGTGAGCAGGTGGTAGCTCTAAGTAGGGGTGAGAATTCTGGGCTGATGCCAATATCCAATTTTTTCATATTTGTAGAGGGTAACGAATGCAGCAAATAAATGAAATGCAGCTCAGTAGCCCAGTATTGCCTAAACATTCTGCTATTCTGGAGTACAATAAATGTCCTCAAATAATGGCTTGAACTGTGGTTTGAACCTCATTCATTCTTGCATGCATTCATTTGCTGACACTGATATGAATCCAAGGTCATCATGCATTCCTAACTGAAAACTTTGCAGTCCCTATAAGACATTTTGACTGTGAAATTGTTAAACCCTCAGCACGTCAGTGTTGTCTGACCATTTGTGCTTTCAGGGTCATTAATGCCAGCTGATATTATCAGCCAGCTGGTATCAGTTGAGCTCTAGGTCATAGTGCATAGTGCTCACTTCCAGATTACAAACCTCACCTATTTTCTTGAGCATGGTATTATGGAGTGCATTAGTAAGGTGGGAGTTTTATTATCATATGTATATTATGGATTAGTCCTTCAGAATTTAGAAAGAAATTGTGTTGTATTTTTGTAATGGATCCAAGGCTGACCCAGCTGTGGCTGCTGTGATGGTGAGGTATATGATTCGTGGTGCATCCTCTGGAAAGATGTTCTTAGTTCTGCGTCCTAGCATCTCAGCACACAGACTCTGCTCCTGAATGCCATCTGATACTTATCAGGCTTTTTTTTTTTTCTTTTTTCTTTGTCTCTCTCAAAGATTCCTGGCAAGAAAACCACCAAGCTCTGGGTTCCAGATGATGAAGTTTCCCCTGAAACGTTGGCTAAGGTAGGGGCACAGACTCACTTTATGAAATGCTTACTGAAAACAGTGTCTTACGTATTAACTGTTGAGTGTTGCTGCTGTTATGTGATTTCTGTTTGGATTGTGCTCATTTTCCCTGTCAAATATACTGAGTTCTGAGGGGTACTGATTACTTATTTTACTTATATATTTTTCTTGCATAGATCATTGTAGTGTAAGTGCAGGTGCACTACAGAGGTGTGTGTTTTTTTGTTTTTTTTTTCCCCCCTGTGTATATTTATAGAAATGCATGGATGTATGTGTGAGTGTATTTATGTATGTATACAATGGATAATAACTTGGCATATTACTTGTTGACTAAGCTAGGAAAAAAATATTACACAAGTGAATGTGAATAATGCCAGAGCCTTATTTTATTATACATTTTATCCAACTGTTGTGATATCAGCACTCAAATCAGTTATCAGCCAACAGTTTAATGATTCTTATGCCAGATAAGAGGCTTTGATGAACATTGAACTGAGTATTGAAGCTAAATAACGTACCCAAAGCATTAGCACTATAATTTTTTTCCCCCCAATTTTCTCCCCAATTTAGACTTACCCAATTTCACACACTAATTAGGACTCCCCTAGTCACACGATACCATCAGCGCTAGGAGGCTAGAACTGCCAGTTCTGTTACGTAGGCTAACAGATGCCTGTGCAGGCTAGCATCGAGGCGTGATGCGGGGGGAGACAGAGGGCCATCCTACCCACCCAGAGAGAGCGAGGTCAGTTGTGCTCTCTTGGACTACCGGCCGCAGATGGCTGTGGCATCACCAGGGATCGAACTGGCGATCTCCTGATGATGGGGCCAACTCTTAGACGATTGCACCACTCTGGAACCCCCCAGCTTTTTTTTCTAAGCATAAAACACTTTATACGTACACTGTGCACTGCATAAACATTCAGAGTAACAGCACAAGTTGTTCTTTGTACCTTTGACTGGCAGTGTACCTACACACATGTACGAGTCAACCTTGTTCTCCGTTTTAGATCCAGGGCATTAAGCTGATGGTGCGGTGGCTGCTCGGGGTGAAAAATAATCAGAGCAAGTCGGGTAACTCCACGCTCAGGATGCTCACTGCCATACTGAACAGTGATGGAGACCTGACCGAACAGGGCAAGATGGGGTGAGTGCTTCCCAAACTATAAATGAACTTCTTGGCACTATAAATGAACATCTCTGTCTAGCAGCTTGATACTGTTCTGGTGTTTTATATGAGGACCATACAGTTCCAAAAAAGTCTTGGATCACTTGAGGAAATTATATTTAAAGGTATTTGTCTGGGTAGTATGCATGTATTTGCTGAAACAAACAAATACAAGTAAAATTAACACAATATATTGGTTTTCAGTGTAATTGTTTTGTAATTAAACAAATTATGTTTCTTAAATATCAACAACAAGGAATTACTTTTTATTAGATTACTATTTGTGTTTTATGCCAGATAAAGTTTCCATGTGGTCACCCTAAGACTACAGCCCATCACAGCTGGTGTACTGTAACTGCATTTAATGGGCTGTACTGCGCTGAGATTTTATCCTGAAAGATCCTGTTTTTTTTTATTTATTCATTTATTTTTGTATTTATTTTTTTCTGTTGTTGTGTGTGCGCTCAGGAAGCCGGACATGTCGCGGCTTCGCCTGGCAGCGGGCTGCGCAGTGCTGCGTTTGGCTCAGGAGCCCTGCTACCATGAGATCATCACCCTGGAGCAGTACCAGCTCTGTGCTCTCGTCATAAACGTAAGACTCTAGGCTTGTACTCTGCTCCCCTCTGCTTCATTACGAGACTGATCCTCTTAGCTCATCTTTATTGGCCGGCCGCTTCTGTTTTAACGACATGAAATGGGGCATGGCGACCTTAATGTCAAAGATTCGCCGTGTCGTTCTGTCAGTCCTGCTGCTGGTATTACGAGGCCATATGGTGGCTCTTTGGCTTGCTCCAGGCTATTTGCTTGCCAGCTCACTCACTTGAACAGAGTTTGGTCTGAGAAGAGGTCTGCACTGTTGGTACTCTGACCCTATAGAGAGATGAGTGGGAAAGGAAAGCATTGATACCATTTCTTATTGTGATATTTTCGGTGAAAAAAATAGTATTGATGCATCCAGGCTCAAATATTGTTTCATTGCTAAATTAATAAATGTATGAAATAGCCAGCAACAATGCTGCTGTGCCACTAAGTATCCTAATACTACTTTCTGTTACCATTATAATTTGCTCTGGTCAAGAGCGTTTGTCAAATAGAGACATTTTTGAATATTTTTAATCTTTTTCTGCTTCACAGTTGTGTTTTTCTTCAGTGTAAATCATTGATGTGAGACGAATAAAGTGGGAACCTGATTATATAAACTTTGTTTTTAAACACATAATTAGCTATCAAAAATGATAAAACACAGCATTTTGTATCACAATAAGAATCTTATAAAAATCTTTAAAAATCACAGTTGAGTGTTACTGATTGTGGCCTAAATATTGCAGTGTGGTATATTGTGGTACCTCTAGTAATTCCCTCTCTTATCATCCAGGTATGCAAGCACCTCTTGCAGTGTCCATCTGTGCTTATTGTCTCTGTTGAACAAAACCTCATATCTCCTCATATCTCCTCCTATCTCTCTAAATTTCATAATGAACAGACCAGTAGAAACTGTCCAAATTTTCACATCCACCGAAAGTAAAGAATGTTTTTAATTTCTCCTGTCAACTTTAGTAGATACAAGGTTTTGTTCTAACACTGACGGTATGTTAATTTCAGTCAGTGTTTACTCACTCTGACACTTTGTGCATTCACTTTATGATTTGGTGTCCTTATTTAAAGCTACCATGATGCCTCTCTCCTCAGGATGAGTGCTACCAAGTGCGGCAGGCCTTTGCTCAGAAGCTGCATAAAGGCCTGTGTCGGCTGCGGCTGCCGCTGGAGTACCTGGCTGTGTTCGCTCTGTGTGCCAAAGACCCGGTGAAGGAACGCAGGGCTCACGCCCGCCAGTGCCTGGTCAAAAACATCAACCTGCGCAGGGAGTACCTCAAGCAGCATGCCGCGATCAGCGGTGAGGGCATGTACACCCCTTTTCTTTCTTCCATTTTAATTGTGAGTCAGTATTTCACAATCCTGGTGTAGCTCTGTACAATTTATGGTGCTTTTCCATTGGGCAGTACAATATTGTCCCCATGCTGAATTTAGTGACTCTTCTTGCTGGGGTACCAAGTGTATCAATTTGAGACGTATGGGTAGAGCTAACGTTGGTTGGCCTAATGCAATTGTCATAGAATTGAATCACCAGAAAAAGCTGGCAAGCTAGCCAGAATCGCTGTCTATCACTCTCACGTAAAACCACATGCAGAGTAATAGTTAAACACTGTTACCTCTAGCGTTGCGTGAGAAATCAGCCTCCAGGCATGAATCCCGCCTACTTTCATTTCTCTTTTTTATGCAGTAGGAAACCAACATGGGTACTCGACCCAGGTATGAATAGTTAAGGGTTCAGATTAGTAAGTATAATGTGCTGTGCTGTGCTGCATTGCTCAGTTGAATGCATTTTCTAACCCCACTTGGGGCCGCTTAAAACTTGAGGGCCTGTTACAGGGTGTCTGTGGGAATTCAACCAATTTTTCAAAACTCCCGTTTGATTAAATGGTTAAGATTCTCATTCTGAGTGGTTTGATGTGAAATGCTTAGTTCAAAAGAAACTAGAAGAGTCAGAATTGTAGACGGGGGTGGTGATGGGAACCAGACGTCTGAAGAGATTTATGCCCCCTAAAACTCCTTGACAGAAAGAGATTACATGAAATCATTACGAATACACTGCCTGATTTAGTTTATTCGATTTTAGATTTACAGTGTCACATTAATAAACATTTCTGTAAATGGGCCAGTTTATCCAGGTTGGACAACTGCTCTGTGCTGAATGCTCAGAGATTTTTTTTTTTTTTGTTATTTAAATAAAGCTTTGAAACTAAACAATTCATGCTGTCATTTGGAGGATAAACATGTATGCATCTAAACCTACTAAACTGACCCAGACTTGCTTTCCAAGCTTTCATTTCTTCAGCTTGTCATACAGCAATTGGTAGCTGCCAAACAATGTCAGCTAACTCATTAGGTGAAATGTTTAGGTATTTTTAAGTGTTTGTGTTGCTATATTATAAAAACAAGCACAACTGAGAAGCTGTACTGGTTATTGTATTATATTTATTTGCGCTTAAACTGATCTGCTCTGTAAAAGCTTTCGGGCTGTGGAAGCTTTTGCGGTCGATTATGTGGGCACAGTTAGAAAAGGTTGGGAACCTCAGTTGTAGATAACACGACCCCTGGTTTCTATCACCACCACAAAGAAAGTTTCTCTTCAGTGAACCATTTCACATCAGATCACTCTGAGTGACATATCATTGATTTAATTATGCTGAAATGTGGAATTTACCTGATATGTAATGAGGCCTTTTTACAAATTTTAAAAGGGCCTAAATATTCCATTGTCTTAAATTAAAATTTGGCCTAAAACTACATTTGAACATTATTAACAGTATTAACTTCACAATGCCTGCAGACACAGTGTCATTAATTAGCTGATATTTGAGTCATGTGAGGAGAAGGAAAAACGGAGCAAAGGCACTGAAGCACCAGGAGTGGGAAACACTGCAGTCCATTGTTCATTGTATTATGTCTAGATTAATATGGAGATAAACTTCCACCCAACTTTCATTGTGTTTAAGAAGCATGATCAGTGAGAAATTGCTTTGGTATGCTTTTTTTTCTGTTAAATTGAATTATTTGTCTGATGTTTAGGCCACTTCATCTACTGTGGTTGTCATTAATTCATGCCATTAATTTTGTCATGCTAATTTGATTTTGACTAATTGGATTGTCGTAATCTGATGCAGTAAGAAGATGGAGTACAAGCGTCTTTTGTAATTCACTCTGTGTATCATTCAGATCAGCCTTCCTGCTGTTGTCTGATGTATAAGCTTGAAAAGCTGTGATTATGATTGTTCCTGACAAAAAAAAAAATTGAAGTTTAATGTCTGTCTATTGCAGAGAAATTGATTTCTCTCCTGCCAGAATATGTGGTGCCATACGCCATCCACCTACTGGCTCATGACCCAGACTATGTGAAAGTACAAGACATTGAGCAGCTCAAAGACATCAAAGAGTGAGTCTCAACCCTTTGTGAATGTGTGAGCCATGCTTTGTAATAAAGAGCGCTGAAAAACAAGCATAGAAAAAAATGATGGGGTTTTGGTGGGGGAGGGTAGTCAGCCAGAGATTGATTCTGAGAGAGCTCTGCTTTTATCTGTGGGGAAAAAAAAATTCATTTTCTCCCCCCCCCCTCCTATCTCTTTATCTCTCTCTGCTCTTTTCATCTGAAGGGCCTTGTGGTTTATTTTGGAGATCCTAATGGCCAAAAATGAGAACAACAGTCATGCATTCATTAGGAAAATGGTAGAGAACATCAAACAGACAAAAGATGGCCAGTGTCCTGATGATGCCAAGATAAACGAGGTGAGTTTCTAAGCTGTTCTAAGGGGATTCTTTGTTCATTTATTTTCCTTCTCTTTCATTTCTCACCTTTTTCCACTCTGTCAGCATACATGGCCTGTTTGTGTGTATGTGTGGTTTTACAGTGTTTAAGTTGACGAATATGATTAATTCTTACAGCACATGATGTTTAACTTCAGGATCAATCACATCTTATCCTGCCTTTCCATAGCTCTTTATTAAGATTTGTTCTCCAACTTCTTTCCTATTAGAAACTGTACACAGTGTGCGATGTAGCCATGAATATAGTCATCTCCAAGAGCACTACATACAGTCTGGAGTCACCGAAAGACCCTGTGCTGCCTGCACGCTACTTCACTCAACCTGACAAGGTATGACTGCCAGGTGTGAAACCAGTACATGATTTCTTAAAAGGTGGTGCTGGTTCTTATAAAAAGTTCTCTAAAATTAAATTATACGATGTAAATAAAGCCGTTCAGGTTGGTCTGATGTGAATTGCTTTGTTCCAGAGAATTTTGCAGAGTCTAAATTATTCAAAGTGGAGGTGATGGGAACAAGGTGTCTGGCGCTTGTAGTGCCTCTAAAAGCTACATCACAAATTATTACACAGATTTACAGGCACATTGCCTGATGCCTGAAACCTTATTACGGTAGTTTTAAGAGAAAGTTTTGGCCTATTAAATAAAATGTCTATATTTACAGACCGATACGATCCTATATTGGTATCGGGTTTGATATTAAAGTCATCTTACTCATCAGATATTGGTTGGACAGGGTCGGTCCTCTTACCGATCCATTTTCTAGAAACACGGTAATCTTAAAGCAGACAACCCAAAGGCTAAAGGGATCACAGAAGTTCCTGAACTTCATTATACTCGATGACCAACCACTGTCTGTAGTGGAAAATGTCGGATTTCGCAGCCTGTTGGAGCACTTAGAGCCCAGGTTTAGTCTCCATCCAGAAAGTACATTTCAGATATTCAGAGACTGCTGTACCCAAACTGTACAACAGAGTGTCATCACCGTTAGCAGCGCAGTTAGCTAGATGTTAAAGCCATGAGCTTCACGACTGATATTTGGAAAGCAGATGTGAGCCCAGTGTCTCTAAGTCTCACTGTACACTGGGTGAACTCGGAAACATGTGTACTACAGAGTGCGGTGTATCAGGTGAGATATTGCAGGGGGTCACACATCAGCAGTTCAGGTGCAGCCTTCATTACAGATGCGCTTAGTTATTGGAAGATTAAACACCTTAAACGCAATACCAGCGATAATAATGATAATATTAAAGTAAAAAAGAGCTCGTATCGGAATCTATATCGGTATCAGATCAGAATGAAAAAAATTTGGATCAGAGTCAGTAAGTTTTTCTGCGATGCAGTATTTCCCATCACACCTCGCTCAATGACACTGTTTACATCTCACTGCTGGAATTATGCAGTAAGTTTTTCCCCTTTAAAGATGGATTTATTAAAGCGATAATGGAACTTATTTGAAATTTGTTCTTATCTGCGTTCGGTAGCTGTTCTCTAAGCTCACTGAACCTTCATTTGGATTATATTGCAGAATTTCAGCAACACGAAGAATTACCTTCCACCTGAGATGAAGGCATTTTTCACCCCAGGAAAGGTACATATCCAGCTGTTTTATTATCTGTTTAGCATCTGTATCCAATTCCTTTTCCATTGACGGAGACCACAATCAGCTGCTTCCTCTAACAGTGCTCCTCCTCTCTCTGCCAGCCTAAAGCAGCTAATGTGCTGGGTGCTGTGAACAAACCCTTATCAGCCACAGGCAAGCAGCAAACCAAGCTCTCCCGCATGGAGACCATCAGCAATGCCAGCAGCAATTCCAATCCCAGCTCCCCTGGCCGCAGCAAAGGAAGGTTGGTCTGCTGTATAAATTATATACTGTAGGAGACCAAAATGACAGGATAACAAATACAACTCAGAGTATAAATAAGAGCAGATACTGTGCGTTTTTGACCACAACACAAAGATGTATGAGTCAGAACTGAAGATGTGCTAAGCTGTAGCAGTCTCATAGGTGAAGTGCAACAACACTAGAATGGGGCAGATCTGCCTGGTGTAGGTGGTGCCCAGCTTCTAGTTCATTTAGAGTTTGGCAACTTTACTAACCATTATCATGACTTTTTAACGTCTGGCGGTGATGCTAACGTTGCTGAAGTGGAGATCAAAATACTTGATAAAACCTACATTTTAATCAAGCCCACTGAGTGTGGTCCTTTTCATACCACAAGATGTTAATAACAGTGAATACCATGGCTACCATGGCTATTGGCTAATTTATCTCAGGGTGGTCGTGCTTGCTTTTAGGAGCCCAGCTAAAAGAGCAGGAGAGAGGGCTATAATACTGATCTCCCCTCGAGCAACGTACTGGGTTATTCTACTTGGTAAATTATAATGATATATTAGGCCATTGCACTTATTCAGACAGACATTTCATCCAATCATGCTATCCAAGCACTCCCCCATATTACCTTTTTGAAAATCTGCGGCGTTTGGCCAGAACAAGCATCAAACCTCTTTTGTCCAAGGGGATTATGAAGTTACAAGCCTATGAACAGGACCTTTTAAGTTCATACTGATTTCCTGTTTTTCTTTGTAGTGAGCTGTAATGAGGCAAATATTGCCTCTACAGCAGCACTTAAGGTGGAACATAAAGTTTGAATTAGAAGCCAGCTTCAACCTTGTCTTCTAAGCTTCTTACCTGCACAATGCAGTTGATTAGTATTACATGCATTTTGGTGAAAGTGGTTTATTCAGAGCATTACTTTACCAGGCTTTCTGAGCAAGAAAGATTTAGCCACTTGATTCGTTACGTAGAATCGACTATTCAAACAGTTCTGAGCTTTATATGCATCACATTTACGTACTAGTCCAGGAGGAAAGTCACTATTTCTATGTCTCACTTTATCTCCTTCGCATGTAATACTCCCATCTTTGAAAAGCATTCCCACTGTTGATTCTTGTTGTAGCATGTTTCTTGTCATTAAGTGTTTTGGTAGCACAGCATGTTGTTCCCCCACAGTAGTACCTGTCAGTGCAGGTTGCCTTTTTTTTCATAGCCAGGCAGATGTAGATGTGGGCAGAGTTATGAGGTGTAGGACAGGGTCTTATAAAATGACAGGTGGTCTGTGTAATCACAGACAAGCCCTCTGTCCTACTGTTTTCCAAACAGGGTCTCTCAAGCACATAAAAAAAAATATTTTTAGCGGTTTCCTCCAATGGTCTGTCTTTTGTAGTCTTTCATGGAATTCACTGTAAATGATAAAACTAATCATTTAGGTGCATACTATCAGCGTAAAGAGGGTGGGGCTTATACTGTGCATGCACTCTATTATTCTGTGCGTGCAAATTATTTTACATTTTGTATTTAGGTTGTTTATAGGGTTTATGATTTTGGTCCTTATGAGTTCAAGAGTTAAAACCAGCATTTGCTTCCAGGCTATTACTTTTCTGTTTGAGCTCCTGTTAAGAAAGCAAACAATAGAGTAATAATTATACGATCTTCCCACCGACTATTGACAAGACTTTAAGCTCACAAGTGAAAAGAAGCCGCAGTGTTCTAGTCTCTGTATTGTCGAGTCTTCCATGAGCTATACTGGTTTCCATGAGATCTAGACATTAGTGAATAGGTGTCATTTACATCCCGCTGAATAAGTCTGTAAACACATTTGCATGACAAGGCTGTAATGATTACAGCTCCACTGTGCCACCCTCACATGAGCAGAGCACTTCAAGTATGGAACCAGCCCTTCACTTATAGACGGGGAAGCTCTGCTGTGAACCAATTAAATGTAGCATAACATGATTCATTACTGTTCCAGACTGGTATAATTGGATATTCAAGCTGCGCTGTAATGAAACAAGAATAGACATGGTGAATTCACTTGTCAACAGTTTTAGAAGTAAATGAATATTTAGAGCTACAGCTTGGCTCACGGATTTCCACCAGCACCTTTTAATCAAGCATTATGTAGCATAGCGTCATGTCTTTCCTATTATTAGTTAACTTCTAAGGATTTGAAGACTTTAAACTAGAGTACAATAAATTAAGTTGTGATTGTTGTCACTGTCTGAACAAACCTTATCTCCAAAATGGTAAGTTTACAGGAGAAGGAAAAAAATGTGACTTTTAATGGAAGTCCTTCTGTTTCTTTGCTTACTTTGTTGTACCCTTTTACCCTGTTCTTCAGTGATCAGGACCCCTACAGGAACACCACAGAGCAGGGATTATCTGGGTGGTGGATCATTCTCAGCACTGCAGTGACACTGACATGATGGTGGTGTGTTAATGTGTGTTGTGCTGGTACGAGTGGGTCAGACACAGCAGTGCTGCTGGAGTTTTTAAACACTGTTCACTCTATTCGACACTCCTACCTTGTTGGTCCACCTTGTAGATGTAAAGTCAGAGACAGTCGCTAATCTGTTGCTGTACAGTTTGTGTTGGTCATCTTCTAGTCAGTTAGTGGTCACAGGACGCTGCCCACAGGACGCTGTTGGCTGGATATTTTTGGTTGGTGGACTATTCTCAGTCCAACAGTGACCTTGATGTTTTTAAAACTCCAGTAGCACTGCTGTCTGATCCACTCTAACCAGCACGACACACACTTATATGCTACCACCACGTCTGTGCAGTGCTGAGAATGATCCACCACCCAAATAATACCTGCTCTGTGGGGGTCCTGGCTGTTTAAGAACAGGGTAAAAGGGGGCTAACAGAAGTATGCAGAGAAAGAGAAACTGATGGACTACAGTCTGTAATTGTAGAACTACTAATTGCACTTTTGTGGTAAGTGGAGCTGATAAAATGGACAATGAGTGTAGATTCAAGATAGGTGTACCTAGTTGTGACCATGTATGTATGTATGTATGTATGTATGAAATATATAACATAACACACATCCATTTAAGCAGCCTATAGCAGTTTAGCCCTACCCATGAATATTGAAGTCATAAGGAGTGTTTCATGGTGGACTGCTACCACGTGCCTTTACGCATCCATAAAGGCACAGTAGCAAAACCAGCCTGTTTAATTTTGAATCTATTTCTAAAAAATAATTATGCTACATAAATCCACACCAATATAATAAGAGAATCTTTGGGCAAAAAAAGAAAAAACAATAAAATAGGATATGATTCCTTTTAGTGCTTTTACGTGATGGTAAATTACTTCATACTAATTGGTTTGACTTCCCACTTGTTCTTGCTCTCAGACTGGACGCATCAGAGAAGGACCACAGCGAGAACGAGGACATCTCCATGAAGAGCCCGTCTGAAGGAGAAAAGCCCAGCAGGGGGCGCAAGCGAGGCGCGGCATCCAGCCAGGAGGATAAAGCCCAGGAGTCGAAGCCCAAACGCGGCCGCAAGAAAGCGGCCAACACCAGCACGGACGATGCGGAGGAGCAGTGGGGAGAGGACAGCAGCATGGCCGAAGCTTCCATGGAGACGGAGGACGAACAGAACAGTCCGCCCAAGAGGGGCCGCAGAGGACGACCTCCAAAATCTGCCACCAAGGACGAAACTCCAAGCAAGGGAAGGAGAGGACGCAGGAAGGCCGCACCACCTCCGGAAGAAGAGAATGACGAAGAACAGGAGGAAGAGGAGGAGGAAGAGGAAGACGACGCAGGCAGTGAGAACATGGAAGTGAAGCCTAAAGGCAGGCGAGGTCGCAAACCAAGGTCAGTTATGTAGCTGTTGTCCTGTGTATTCAATATGCTGAGCATTCAAAGTATAGTGAAATCCATATACTACAGCAGCGTATATTACACCAGACAGAGGGTAACTAATATAGTATAAAAAGGACACTGGACAGTGCAAATACTTTCCAGAGTAGAATAGACGAGAACTGTGTATGTAAGTGGAGTGGAGCAGCAGACATTTCCGCTCCTCACTCAGTGTTTCTGTTATCACTCCGGTCCAGCTTCGCTTTGGGTTTTTCGATTTTCCTGAGTTCAGTTTCCTCGCTCACATGTCAGAGAAACTCCGCACCATATCCACTCCATATGGTCCATTCTTATGGTATTTGTTTTATGTCTGGAATGTTTGGACAAGACACTATACACGTTATTTAATTATAGAATTAATGGCCGTTATTAAACTAAAAACTAGTTCAACATTCTGTGCTACACAGGCTTTTTCGGAAGGTATAGGCTTGAAGCGATGGCTCAATCACAAGACAGAAGACTGCTGAGGTTGAACAAATGCACATGCTTTTAACACCATCTTCATCATTTATGCAGCAAAGTGGACAACACAAGACTAACTGTGTCTAACGTCTGTAGAACTTTGTTGTGATCAGTGATCATTTCCAGTATGTGGGTCTGCTGAAAAAGCTCAGACGCTGTGTATGAATGGCTGTGGTGTGTAAGCTGTAGCTGTCACTGCAGCATCACTCATGTCACACAGAGGTAGTCAAGACTGTCTGGCTTGCGGGATGGAGCGGTACTGGAGCAATTTCAGCGTGAGAGAGAACACTGTCGCTCCGACTATCTGAAAAGCTGCTCCGAGCAAAATCACATTGCTCCACTCGCACTTCACACCGCTCACATGCTCTGGACTAGTATAGCTTTCGCCATGCAGATAGGTATATGGATGCTACAAGCTGCTACACTTTGGTTTGATATGGGTCAATATACTGTATTGGAATCACTTGTCATTAATAATTGCTGCTATTTTATTTAATTTTAACTGTTTTCAAGGTTTTTGTTGGCAATAGCGAGACCAAGATCTGTAATAATTTCTTGATGAAATCTGCCTGAGATTTAATCATCATATTTCACCATATTTGGTGTTAATTTTATTATAATTTAATTCTAATTGTTTTACAGCTTTCTCAGTCATGAAATTATCTACATCTACCTTCATCTCACTTCTTTTTCACAGATTCCTTCTAATTAGTTAAAATCTGTGATTTTGAGTAGAAGCATCATCAAAGAATCACACACACACACGTAGCTGCAACGTTTGTTTTATTGAAACAATATTGTTACTGAAAATAGTGACTCCTAAACATTTTTTTAAATTTAGATTCCAAATTTTTGAACACTAGTTTGCATTTTCATTGTAGGGAAAAAAAATACAGTACAGTTTTATCTGTGTGAATTTGAATGCTCTCTTTTATCGTTGAAATAATCAGTCACCTGTTTTGATGAGTTGAATATATAATTTAATGTGCCACTGTGTGATTTATTTCAGAGTGGAAGCATCAGAGGCCACCAGTGATTCAGTTGAATCCACGCCACAGAAAAGAAGAGGACGACCTCCAAAGTCACAAACGGCAGCTAGAAAATCAGGGTACAGCCTCACACATACACCACACACACATCTACCGTAGGCTTTGTGCTGACTGCCACTTTTGAGATTTGGACTCATGTAGAAGCTGATAGGTTTGTCGTTAATACTTAATGTGTTTTTAATAAGGTGTGATTGAAGATCTCCAGTAGTTCAGAGGCATGGCTTCTGCAAATGCCACTATGTCTGACCTGTTTACTCCATTTTGCAGTGGTGGACGATCCAGAGCAGCAGTAAGCCAAGAGGAAGAGTCTGAGGAGGAGATGGAGACATCCCAACAGAGTGAGGAGGAGGCAGAGGAGGAGCAGTTACAGGATTCCTCACCTAAAGTAAGTCCTCTTTCTCTGTCACTGGCTGTGTTTACACGCAAAGATTTTTGCCAGTCCGACTGAATACATTCCAATTACCACTCAGAGTAAACGTTACCATGACAACAAGCATTGCTAAGGTCCAGACAGGGTGAGATGAGTTTTCAGCTGGAGCGCTTGTGTTTTTAAATGCTTTTAAATTATGGCTGGAAAATGTACTTCACATGTATTAAGGAAGCGGCCAGAGGAAGACGTCGTGTTCTGAGACACATAAGCTGGACGTCCGTCACACCGCCGTCTTTTAAAGTTCAAAGCACTTTGAACTTCGTCTCCTCTGCAGACCATTTTCTGCTCCGCCATGTTGAACGTTATAAACTTTCACTATGACATGACGCACATAATCAGAACATACTTAAACTCTCTGATTGGGAATGTAATCAGATACAGGCGTTTACATGGTTATGATTCTTCTGTTTAGCAGATATTTTCAGGATTACCCACCTCGTTCAGTCGGATAGAAATCAGATAGAATGGCCTCAATCAGACTAGTCTATTCCAATTGTGGTGTTTACATGGACGTGTTCTATTCTGATTGAGCTATTAGTCAGATTATTAACAGATTATTAGGCTGCATGTTGAAGTGGCTACTGCTGATCTGTTTGTCCTGTGGGGTTTGAAGCTGGCCTGCCCAAAGAGTTCAGTGGGTTCAAAACAAGTTGCAAAGTAACATGATCATTAAAAAAAAAATCATGAATTTCTTTTTTTATATTATATTTATTATTATATTTATAATAATAATATAATAATAAATTATATTTATATTTAACGGGGTAAACAGAATAAGATTGAAAAAGGACACAGAAAAACGTAGAAAAACATCTGTTTGTTCAAAAGGTTATTAAACGTCAAAATTCTAGTTCTGTACCGCTAATTGAGTTAAATACCTTTGGCAGAATATTTTACAGTTATACTTCAAGTCTTAAAATAAACCTTACAGACTTTGCTTTGCGTTACTGCGTAGGTTCGACGGAAGTCGGGAAGGCGAGACCGCAGATGAGTGAGCTGAGATTCTCCAGCGCGGGAGATTCACGATGGCCAAGCCTAGAAGAGCCGCAGAAGACAAAGGAGGGAATTTTTGGAGATTTTGGACTTTTTGGAGCCATGCATCTGCTTCAGCTGTATTTTGCCGTCTTTTCTGCCGTATGCTTTTGCCACGCCTGCCCACCATGACTCATGGTTTGTTTTGCATTGTTGCGTGTGCCGACCATGTGGAAGATCTTATCCTACTCAAAAAAAAAAAGAAGAAAAAAAGAAAAATGTAAATAGTCTTCGTTCTGTCACCCCTGTCTCTACAAACCCCCTTCCACCCAACTTTAGGGAGACAACTGTATAGCTTTTACCCTTCCAGCTTTAAAGATATTGCACCAGCTGATCTGTCCAAGTATAAAAGGAAAAAAAAAAGAATTCTGACAAGCGACTTTTAGCAGTACTGTATCTGTCCGGTGTGTTTTCTGTATCATTCTGTACTGTGCTACATTAATTAACTGTTTTGTAGTTCCATTTTTTTTAAATTTGTTTGTCATTTTATTCTTTCCCTTTTTTAACCCCTCTCATTTGTATAATTCTTGTGTGCATATTATTGTGGATGTGCAAATGTGCCTCTGCAGGACAAAAAGAAACACTGGTTTGACGACAAAATCACGTATTTGTTATCTTTTCCTGGCTCAGTATTGATTTAAGCAGTGTTTGGAACAACAGGGAAAGTGTGGTACAGAGCATCCATTTTAATATTGGCTGTGCATTGCAAAACAGTTGCGGATTAAAGTCCCCCAAATCACTTTTTCAGTCTGCTGAACCAATAAAATATTCTCTTTAAATAATTGGACTGGTTTACTGATCAAATAAGGGAGGGTTCCCTTTCTTGTTTTGTTGGACAAACATGGATTAACATGTTGATGTTTCCCTGCGGTAGTTTTGCGTGGCTGTCGAACAAAAAAATGAATCATTTATGCGCTGATTACTGAGCTGGAACACTTCAGAATATTAAATATTAAATAAGGAGCCAAACCTAAAATCTTCCAGAGGATACACCCATGCAAAGTTCCTCTTAGTTGCAGGGAAAATCCACCCATTTTTCAGAATTCAGTGGTCGAAACAAACTCAGAGTGGTTTGACATGAATTTTTTAATTGTAGAGAAACAGATTTCTTTAGTGTTTCTTTATCCAAAATGACACTCATCTAAGTGTGAATCTGAAAAATTGTTTGCTTTGGGACATTTTTTTGGCCTTACAACTCCCTAAATGTACCACTGAACCCATGAATGAATTTTTAAACACATGGAAACGATTGTAAAACACTGTCTTGGGTTTCATGCAACATTGGTAATCATTTAATATAATAACTTTCTATGAGGAAGTTTTTGGAAGCATTAAACTTTTCAGACACCCAGTTTCTGTCAGCACCACTGTAAACAATTCTGACTCTGAGTCTTCACAACGGAGCATTTCATGTCAAACCACTCTGAATGACTTTGTTTACATCTAAATAAATGAATTTTATTTAAAAAATAATTATTAAAAACAGTAGAATTAATTTTAAATGTGATGGCTTGTACCACTTCTGATAGGGATCAAAATACTTTAGTATTGTCTTATATATGACAGCAAGGTATATCTATCTGAGGCATGTTTTAAGACACTGTGGTGAAAGAAATTACAGGTAATATACTTCATATATTCAATTCCTAATCAGTGATGCTCCTTAAACTGCTCTGTAGGACAAAAGCTTTTTTGCCCTGCAAACTGGTGACGTTTACTGCACAGCTGTGAAAAGCTATCGTGCGGTTAGGAGTTAAAACTATGTTGACATTTCACATGAGCATATTGACAACTGTCAGTGCACCATGACTAAAAGCGTGACTCGAGCAATAATGGGAGTCGTAGTTTTGTAGTAACACAATTGTACCCGTGGCTTTTCAAGGTCCTTTCATGCACAGGAGATGTGTATTGATTAGATTAGGAGTGTAAACCTCAGACTTCACCACAAGGCCATAATGATTTGTAAGACAATGGCAGTATTTCAAATGTCACTAATATATGTAAGTCTTAAGTAATATGAGCAATATGATTCAGCAAAAAAATCAGATTACAATAGCCTCATTCAAAATGAGCTTGACTAAATATTTATGAAGTTCTGCTTGGATTAAACCCCATCTTTAATCTAACTACAGGGAATGGAAAGGCTTTGAAAGGTGCTCTAAAAACAGGAAAGATGAATGTGTTTCACGACACAGTGATTAATCAACATTTGCACTTTAATAGACTCACATTGTAGCTGTTGTATAATGTATATATGCACCCTGTGCTAAAGCCTCCATTATTAAGGTGTTTTTTTCTGAGAGGGCTCCTTTATAGTACATGATAATTGTACATAATGATGTCAGATTCCTGAAGGAATTATTTTGAATCAGTTATTTCCAAAAAATCAACTTAACCGACTCAGAGGAACAACTGAATCTACATTGATCTACACAGCGCTGGTGTTGGTACTGTAGGCACAAGATTTTGAATACTGGTTTTCACAATACAACCTTATTAAATCAAACTAAACAAAAACATTAAATAAACATTTTTTGCCCATTAACCATATTAAATCAAGCCAAATAAAATATTAATAAAAGGGAATAAAATGTAAATAAACACTCACATTTTCTTAATCACTTATCCTTCTGGGTCACGGAGGGGGGTACTGGAGCCTATCCCAGTGGTCATTGGGCTGAAGGCAGGATACACGCTGGACAGGTCGCCAGTCCATCACAGTGCAGACAGACAGACATACACAATCACACCTAGGGCCAATTCAGCGTCTCTAATTGGCCTGACTGCATTTCTTTGGACTATGGGAGGAACCCCACACAGACACGGGGAGAACATGCAAACTCCACACAGAAAGGACCCTGGTCGCCCAGCCGGGGAACCAAACCCAGGCCCTTCTTGCCAAGAGGTGACAGTGCTACCCATGCGCTACGAAGCGCATAGAAAAATAAAATCTAACGCTCTTGTAACAAGTTAAAAAATTATTTGGATTTGTTTACACTTCCTTCTGTACAAAGACAGTCTCTGCACTAGACGAAGGTAGGCAGCCGCCTGTAGGGCCTCCATGAGCCAAGAGAACATACAGATTAGATATACAGACTGAATGTGATGATGTTATTCCAAAATATATTAAAAATAGTTGTTATTTGCTATTGTAGCGATTCTTTTCAGTATTTTCAATGCAGCAGCTCCCCCGGTCATGGTTATAATGGACTATGCTGTGAAGTGATGACACAACTGCGTTAGACGGACTGGTATGAACAAAGTAATAAAGTGATAACCTACACTGCGCAGAGAAGGTTCTTCTGTGTGATTTTCTGGGTGTTGAGAGGGTGTTGGGGTGTTGACCCTCTGTCTGTTACAGTCAGCCCCCCTCATGGGGAAAAGTGTAACATTGTGCTTCCCATCATTTTTAGTGGAGTTGTACATGAAGAATTGGTGCTAGAAACAATGTTCAAGTGTTCATTTGTAGCAGAGATACAGATATAAATATCACTGTTGTCGGAAGAAAACCTCATATCTCCAAAATGACAACTTTACAGGAAAAGGAAAAAACCTACTTTACTTTTAATGTAAGTCAACGGAACCAGACTTTTTTCCAAGTCATTTCGGGTCAATTCTGTTGTTCCACTCATCATGAAATTTACACACAATATATAGAACTACGAGTACTTTAAAATTATGTCAAAAATGGAGATATGAGGTTTTCTTCCGACAACAGTGATACGTTACTTGTATAAAAACAAGATTATTCCAACTAAAATACTGTTCATATTATTATTCAAAAGCCAAACTGGGTTAGGTTGTGCCCCACTCTCCCCTATTGCTATATTACCAGGGCTGTTTCTGGCTATAAGCACTACAAGCAGTTTTTCTTACCCCCCCAGATTTTCTTACTGTATTTTCTTCCTCTTACTTATTTCTTAAATTTTCTTAAAAATGAAGTATGTATTACATCTTATATACAAGATGTGGTATGTCTGATTGGGGTATGTAGGGTGAAGGAGGGGGGGCCAAATAAGATGGTGCTATGGGCCCCCAAATGTTCATAAATGGCCCTGTATATATTCCCTACACACTTCAGCACAGGATGTTGGTTAAGGGAACAGCAGCGGATAAAGACCTTCATGGAAAACCCTGTAGAGCCATGAGCTGCGTCCAAAACCACAGACTACTGTACTACACACACTACACTGATCAACAGACTTCTGTTGGTGGTGTTCTATTTTCGACATGCTATTTATGGCAGTATGCGGTTTGGGACGCGGCCATAATCAAACACGCATCTTTAAGCGTTATGCAATGACTAAAAGTTACTAGGTAAACTTTCCTGCGGCTTCCTGTGAAGTGATAAACCGCTGACGGCCGCTCCCTGTGACGTTTGAAGTTTCCTTTTTCACTGGAATCGACTTTAAAACGCCCTTATTATCCTGTTCAGTCCACTTTGCAGGGAATTACGAGGGCGACTGGAAAGAACCGACTTGAACGAACAGCTCGAAAGAATCGGTTCGGTAAACCGAATCGGATCGTGAAACTGACTCGGTTCGGTAAACTGAATCGAATGTCCCGTTTCTGAATTCTGTTTCAAATGAATCAAATGAATCGAGTGTTGCAATGACGTGATATGATCCCTCAGCTACACAGAGACACATCCAGCGAACAAGATGTTCATTCCCCTTCACAGTAAACAACACGATCAGGTTCAAGGTAAACATGAAGATTTGTTTAAACGGAAACTGTGATAATCATCGTTCAGAACAATGGAATCAAAAAAGAAAGACATTTTTTGCAAAGTGATTAAAAAGATCAGCTGTACTGCTAATCTATGCATCGATCAGCCCTTTTGAGGCCTGGATTATGACATGGCTGTAGTTGTCTTCTTCTTACTCTAATTTTCCGTTCCACCTTAAATCGTGCAGCAGTTACTGTGCCTGTAGCATTTAAAGGGGAACTCCACCGATTTTTTCAAATTTTCTGCACAATTAACTGGTGAAGATGTAAGCAAGGCCATTCAGAGTTGGCTGGTGTGAAATGCAGCGGTGGTGATAGGAAGTCTGAAAAGTCTAATGGCTCTAAAATCTCCCTCACAGAAAGTTACTACATGAAATGATTATGAATATACTGCCTGATGTTTGAGGAGTACAGTAGCTTTGTGATAAGGTTTTTGGTCTAAACGTATTTCAGTCAGTTTATTTTAATCAATTTGTGGAGGAGGGATAGAAGAAGGGTGTTCTAAGGCAAAATAGTCCCCAAAGAAAACTTATTTTTTCAGATTTACCACTATTTTACCATCATCAAGACTCGTGTAGGTTTACTGGTGGTTTTGAATAGTATATAAAATGGATATATTTGTGTTGTAGACATGCTGGCCCCTGGTTCCTATCACCACCACTGTAAAGAAATCAGAGTCAGAAAGTTTATACACCCTTAAAAAAGATGGTTCTATTTAGAACACTGAGTTTTATATAGAACCATTCCATGCTGAAAGAGTGAAATGGTCCCTCAGAATGATGGAGAATGTGCTGTATATGGTTCTGTATCTGTTTGAAAATGGTTCTATATAACACACGTTGTATCACAACTATATAGAAGTTCAAGTATAAAATCAATCAAATCAAATCAATTATTGTCACATCACATTTACACAGGTGCAAGGTGAGTGAAAATAAGTTTAATCATAACTATAGAAGAGCCTTTTTTTGCGTTATATAGAACAATTTTCAAGTATATATTTTCTGTGGAGCCCTGCTGGTGACATCTTGTATAAATAGAAATAACGCGTGGCCATGACTTGCTAAGGAGTGGGAACTAAATAATTAAGTCATGGCCACTACTTAGTAAGGCATAGGAATGAGACTTATCCTTGCCCACAACTTAATCTTGTTCCCACGCCTTACTAAGTTCTGGCCATGACTTAATTATCTCGTTCCCACGTGTTAATATGGCGTGGCTACGACTTATTTTTATTTATATATGATTTTACCAGCAGAGCGGAACAGAAAAAAATATATATACACCAATCAGGCATAACATTTTGATCACCTCCTTGTTTCTATGCTCATTATCCATTTTATCAGCTCCACTTACTATATAGGTGCACTTTGTAGTTCTACAGTTACAGACTGTAGTCCATCTGTTTCTCTGCATACTTTATTAGCCCCCTTTTACCCTGTTCTTCAGGGGTCAGGACCCCCATGGACCCTCACAGAGTAGGTACTATTTAAGCGGTGGATCATTCGCAGCACTGCAGTAACACTGACGTGGTGGTGGTGTGTTAGTGTGTGTTGTGCTGGTCTGAGTGGATCAGACACAGCAGTGCTGCTGGAGTTTTTAAACACCTCAGAGTCACTGCTGGACTGAGAATAGTCCACCAACCAAAAATAGGTGGACTGACAAGGTAGGAGTGTCTAATAGAGTGGACAGTGAGTGGACACAGTGTTTAAAAACTCCAGCAGCACTGCTGTGTCTGATCCACTCGTACCACTACAACACACACTAACACACCACCACCACGTCAGTGTTACTGCAGAGCTGAGAATGATCCACCACCCAAATAGCACCTGCTCTGTGAGGGTCCAAGGGGGTCCTGACCACTGAAGAACGCTGTGAAAGGGAGCTAACAAAGTATGCAGAGAAACAGATGGACTACAGTCTGTAACTGTAGAACTACAAAGTGCACCTATATAGTAAGTGGAGCTGATAAAATGGACAATGAGCGTAGAAACAAGGAGGTAGTAATATATATATATATATAGATATAATGTATATCATCAATCTATCCATCAATCTGAAGAAACATTTCACTCTTTCATATGGTTCTATGCATGATATGATTCTAGATATACCTCTTAATTTTGAAAGGACCTGTCTTTACTAAAGAACCCTTGAAGAACCATCTTTTCATCTTTTTTAAGAGTGAACTAATGAACCGTTTCACATCAAACCACCCTGCATGATGTTGTTTATATCTCAACCACTGAATTATGTAGAAATTTTCAAATATCAGTGAAGTTCCCCTTTAAGGTGGAACGGAAAACCCGAATAGGCAGTCAAGTTCAGCTTCGTGCGTTATGAAAGCGCGCGCGCGTGTGCGTGTGTGTGTATATGTGTGTGTTTTGTCTGTTGTGCTCTAGTCACGTGACTTCACGGACCAATCACAGGGGCGGACGTAACGAGCCGAGTGTGTGTGTGTGTGCGCGCTGCTCCCAGTGTGTGTGTTGCCGTCGCTGGCTGAGGGTCGGGGTTTGGATCGGTTACCTCACCGGACTCGGTCTGTGTGATGTCCGCGCGAGCTCTCCTCCGGGCACGAGGTACGTACAAACCCGCGTTTGTGTGTCTGCACGTCTCTGTGAAGGGGTGGTGACGTCAGACCAAACGTGAGTCCCGAATGAATCGTGTGGTGAAAGTTTCACACTTTCCGTGTGTGCGGGGTTCAGAGTTAGGTCGTTACAGCGACCTACAAAGTTGAGGGTTCGTCACTGGTCCTGTTTGTGTGTGTGTGCGCGTGTTTAGGCAACCTGAAGACACTGTGCAGTACTGGAGGGCTGGTGGTGTCCAGGACAGTCTGTGCTTACCCTGCTCAAACACACCTGATTCAGCTCACCTGTTAATTGCCAGGTGTAGTGAGTGTGTTTGAGTTGGGGAGCTGGACACTGGCCCTGCAGGACTGGACTGTACACCTATCAGCCATAACATTAACTGTCTCATAACACTCATTGTCCATTTTATCAGCTCCACTTACTACATAGGTGCACTTTGTAGTTCTACAGTTACAGACTGTAGTCCATCTGTTTCTCTGCATACTTTGTTAGCCCCCTTTCACCCTGTTCTTCAGTGGTCAGGACCCCCACAGGACCACCACAGAGCAGGTATTAGTTGAGTGGTGGGTCATTCACAGCACTGTAGTGACACTGAAGCTGCTAGAGGTTTTCAGTATCTGAGTGTCACTGCTGGACTGAGAATAGTCAACCAACCAAAAATATCCAGCCAACAGCGTCCTGTGACCACTGATGAAGGACTAGAGGATGACCAACACAAACTGTGCAGCAGCAGATGAGCTATCGTCTCTGACTTTACATGTACAAGGTGGACTGACAAGGTAGGAGTGTCTAATAGAGTGGACAGTGAGTGGACACAGTGTTTAAAAACTCCAGCAGCACTGCTGTGTCTGATCCACTCGTACCAGCACAACACACGCTAACACACCATCACCACATCAGTGCCACTGCAGTGCTGAGAATGATCCACCACCCAAATCATGCCTGCCCTGTGGTGGTCCTGTGGGGGTCCTGACCACTGAAGAATGCTGTGAAAGGGGGCTAACAAAGTATGCAGACAAACAGACGGACTACAGTCTGTAATTGTAGAACTACGAAGTGCTCATATAAGGTAAATAGACCTGATAAAATGGACAATGAGTGTAGAAACAAGGAGGTAGTTTTAATATTATGGCTGATCGGTGTATGTCCAAAAGTATCCAGACATCCCAGAGAAGAGCATTGCCAATAGAATGAGGTTCTGAAGCAGCTGCACATGAGCCTAAGGACACCATGAGGGGTGTAAAGCCCCCCAGCATTGGGCTGTGGAGCAGTGGAACTGTGTTGAGTGATGGAGCCCCATTCTTTCCTGCCTTTAGGATGTGTTGTAGTGGCGTTAGTGACCCAGAACATCAGTACCTGACCTCACTAATGCTCATGTGGCTGAATGCAATCAATTCCTCACAGCAATGTTCCAGTAAAGCCTTTCCAGAAGAGTAGAGGCTGTTACTGCAGCAAAAGGGGACAAACGCCCTATTAGCACATTTGATTTTATAAGAAATGTTGGATGAGCAGGTGAGTTTTGGACATATAATGCGTTTGCCTCTGTGTCTAAATGTGCTCAGGAAGCTGTTTGCGGACACAGCAGATAAAGCTCAGTGAGCAGAATGTACATCTCAGTGAACCAGTCATTTCTGATCGATTTACTCCAACAGATGCTTTATGTAACTGTTTTACATAATCATTGCAGTAAATTTGTTTGACTGCATATCAGTGTAGCTCCGGCTGAACTGGTCACCGTAACTAGATTTGTAATTTGAATTTGATCATTTGAATTTTGATAATGTGTAGTTGCAGAATGTATTAAAAAAATGTTATTTAATAACATTTCTGTGACCTTAGACGTTTTCAAGCCATCAGCCAACTCATTGAATTCATGATGGTTATATTTGATTTATTCACACACATTTTTTCTTTATTTTTGATTATTTGATTATAATTATAATTATATTAAAAAAAAATAAAATATATATATATATATATATATATATATATATATATATATATATTTATTATATATTATTATTTTTTTTTAATATAATTATAATTATAAATTATTATTTTACATTATTTGTATTATCTGTCTATACACTCACCATCCACCTTATTAGGAAACTAAAATTCTTAAACTGGGTAAGACATGCTTTGCTCTCAGAACAGCCCTTATTCCTCATATCATGGATTCAACAAGATACTAGAAACGTTTCTCAGAGATTCTGGTCCATATTGACATGACTGCATCACATAATTGCTGCAGATTTGTCAGCTGCACATTCATGCTGTTGGATTCAGATCCGGTGACTATGAATTGGCCATTGAAGTCCACAGGACCCCGTCATGTTCATAGAACCAGTTTGAGATGAACTGTGACAAGATGTGCTATCATGGAAGTAGCCATTAGAAGAAGGGTAAACTGTGACCATAAAGTTCATAAAGGTCATCGTGTCAGTACTGGAATCTCGAAATGTAGCTTTGACATTTTGTTTTAGTCATTAATACTTGCATTGTATTAATCTTAGTTAAGCTGCTGTATTACATGACTTTCACCCTTTTAAAAGGGGCCTTTTTAAGCGTTGACTGGCAAAGGAAACCCATCATTCACTAGGGCTGTCAGATGGGATCAGAAATTAAGTTTGAATTTTCCTGTTGTTTCTTTGTCAAATATTTGAATATTCGAATTTCAAATAAATTATTATTATTATTATTATTATTATTATTATTATTATTCTTTCAATCATCAAATAATTTGCAAGGAAAAAGAGAGAGGAATAAATAACTGCATTAAAATGGCAGTTTTCCAAGTCAGTGTCTCCTACATCCACCAGGGGACTCAGCATAAATGAACAAGTCACCTAAAAAACAGTGATTCTCAACCTGCAACTCATCAAAAAATGCACATGACTGATAAAGAGACCGAATGTAGCATAAGAAAAAGTCTGTAACTGGCCTAAGTAGTGAAGTAAGCTGCGGGGCTAAGCAGCTCCCTCACTGCAGTAGTGATGTATCAGCTTAGCCTCACAGTTTACTTCACTACTGTATAAACATTGTGATTATTAGCTCTCTACAAGGTGTCCACATTTAGAGCCTTGGCTTGTCAGAAAATCTCCCATCTGAAGCAAATGTTTCAGTTACATAACAACGTATTTTTGCATTATTTGTAGGGCTGGGCAATATGATATTTTATCATTATCATGATAAATTATGCCACAATATGCTTTTCTGAGCATATCGTGGATGTTGTCCGCACTTAAAGAACACTGACCAGCCTTTGTTTCATTACAAAAAGAGCATAATTGGCAAACATTGAATAAAGATTATTGCAGTGATAGATGTTGATAGTATTTTTACTTGTGGTAGAGTTTTGTCAGTTTCAACTTATCAAACCTCAGAAAAATGAAATATTGTGATACATATTGTATTGTGAAAATGTTTACCAACATCCTAGTTCTAATTAAAGACAAAGTAAAATGTTGTTTTGTTTATGGTCAGCAGTGACATGTTCTTTCCTCTGTTAGGTAGTTGTTATTTGTGATGTTTGTGACTAAGTGGCCTTGAACATGCTAGGAGCACAGCAGGGGCTTTAAACACTTGAAAGGACATTTTCTACATTCATATTTTGTTCTTTGGATTCAACAAATATTCCAATGTTGAAATGTATTTTGACGGCCCTGTTATTCACCATATATAGTTTTAAGACAGACTGTGAAGATAAATTATGTTTTGGTGAAGGATTTTATATACCAGATTACATCACCTTCACTGAGTTAAGCTCGATTTCTCTACTTGGTTCTCTGCTTTTGTGCGCTGCGAAAAGAAAATAATCCCATTCAGGTGCTGGAAAAACAATGAAGCGTTGTATAATTCATTGGGTGCTCCCATTAATGTCTGGGCCAGATGCATTTCTCTTAGAGAATGGCTGTGTGGGGGTCTAATTATAGCCTCTCGTCTTGCTCCGTATGCTCCCAGCGGCTTGTTGTGAAGAGCCGTTTCATCAACAGAGGGGAAATTCAGATGCTACTGAGCCTAGACGCTGCTGTGAGGGGGTGACATGCTGATTATGTAACACTCTCCATCCTCTGCTCCTCTCAGCGGATGTGTGTTCTCAAAATAGCCCCCGTAATGAGGGGCTGCTGGAGTTTGCGCTGCCACCGACACCCACACGATCCGTGGCATCTCAGAATAGACTGGATTTGTCATGTCACTGCAGTAGCGCACACTATCATTCTGACATTTCACACCCAGATGCCAGTCAAATGGAGAGATTCTGTCGTTCATAAGATTTGGCATTCCCCTGACACGTCTAATGTTTGGAACTGTTTTCTGACGCCAGCTCTGGATGCGTCTGTGATCTTTAAGGATGCGGTCTGTTCTCTTAAGCCGCAGTGACAGACAGTGTTTGCCTCTAAACCAGCCTGCTTTGTGCTCAAGACTTGTCTTCCATAAGGCCGCAGCTTGAAGGCCGATCACTAAGGCTGCACAATGTGTACAGAATATCATATTTCAAGTGCACTCCTAAAAAATAAAGGTGCCAAAAGGCATTCTTCAGAGTGATAGCGAAGAAAAAACACCTTTGGTTCCCTAAAGCAGGGTTTCCCAAACTTTTTCACACCAGGACCCACATGTAGAGGTTTGCCTTGTGACCCACCAAATATTCTGTGAAGTGAAATGAGACAAGAACGTACCTGAGCTTTCAGCCCAGTTTTACTCAACATTCTGTTCTTTTAATCAGCAAATGCAATAGCAAAACCATGATAAAAGAAGGAAACATACCTAGGCCAGCATTGGTAAGATTCTGGGATAGAACATAATACAATTACAACACTTACATGAGCAAGGTGTGTTATTTTCTCTGCAGAAGACTCATATCTTGACAGAATATTTGCTTTATTTGATCAACTAACCCACTGTACTTGGTCTGCCTTGGGAGATTTTTACAAGCAAGGGATTTTGTTCATAAGCATTTTATTAAATTCCCTGCCATTCCACCTCCCTCC